AACTGGCACTTTTTCTTTTAGTTAAAGCAGCGTTAATCTCCGGAATATCATTCTGCCTTTCAGCACTGGACAGCTCCAGAAGTGACGTCATACTTTTCCTGGTGGCAGTACAATCAAACATTGGTGCGCATGCTGATATGAAGCCCAAAAATGCTGTCTAGTTAGGGAGCTCACTAAGGTTTGGGAAACTCCGGGGGTTGATCTACTGACATAACGCATGTAAAAGCAGTTATTTAGTAATGAGTGTCATGACAAATGCAAAGCGAAAAAACAAACATACATTTCTAATACATACCGGATCATCTATAAAGCAAGGTGAATTGTGACGTTAATTAAAGGCTTTCTTCATATATATAAATATATATTTGCACGTGGGAACAAAATACACAGAGCACTGCAAAGCGGGATTATTTTGACTACGGGCTGTTGCTAAGAAACGCTGCTAGAGCTCTGAAGTTCATTTAATAGTTGTTCATCCTTATCGAATAGGATTTTGCACGTGAATGACTATGCACCCGCAGGTTGTTATCCATACAACATGTGCTCACCTACAAGCTTGAGATGCTGAACAACAGTAAAGTCATTCCGATCATTCTGCAAACTATGTATTTGCTCCTCAGGTAACGGTCATTGAGGACGTTTTTATTGTGTGACCTTCCTTTATTAATCTGCCCTACAACTCCAGTGTGTAAAGTATCTTTTGTGTCTTCTCTCCAAATGAAGCACCTTTTGCTCTAGTTCTTCACACATGAATTACAAATTATGCAATAGTGACAATTGTCAATTAGATCAGTGAGTGGTTGTCAAACTGGAGTCAGTGTGCTAGATTAATAAAAATGAAATAAATGGTGGGAAGGAAATTATATAGTGTCAAGGTAATAGAAACTAAATTTCTTCTAGATAATATTTTACACATATTTATCATATTAGTTTCATAATATAAATGGTAAGATCAAATAAAATAACTATAAAAAATACAGTCAACTTATTAGAAATGAAATATTTTGGAGGTAATATTTTACACATACTTTTAGTAAATCTTTTAACAGTATATATTGCAAAATAAAATATAAAATCTCTAATGGTAGGTAGAAAAACATACAGTGTCTGCTTAATAGAAAGTAAATAGTTTCCAGATATATTTCAAATATTTATTATATATTCTTTTCACAATAAAATAAAATTAAATAAAACTCTAAATGAGGGAAGGAAAAAATACAGTGTCAACTTAATTTAAAGTAAATATTTTCCAGGTAATATTTTAGACAGCTTTATAATACTTTTTTTCACAATATAAATTGGATCTTTAGACATGAAAATATATTTGCATTTTATAGTTTAGGAAGGGGGTCTCAAGGGGATCATCATATTTGTTCATGAGTTCATGGCATCAAAACTTTTAAACCCCCTGAATTAAATGATACTGTAGTTAAAGCAACACCAAGTAACTTTTCCTCTGCGGTCGCCCTACAGGTTGGAAGCGGAATTGTCCATTACCGCTGTCGTAAATAATTTAGCCAACCGCAGCCTACTGTCGCACGCACATGCTCTCTGTTCATCCAGCACCGGCTTTGGAATGAACGATGTCCACAGACAAGGTAGAGTATGTTGCATGATTTCATGAAAGTATGATGTATTGCGACATCAGAAACGAAGAAAAACAAAATAATGACTATTGTAACGCTTGACGTAAAGCAAGTCAGATTTGTCTCATTAGAACTACAGAAACGCGACCCGATCTGGCAATCTTACATAGCGTGGTTATAGCGGATGAACTGCAAAGCGGAGGCATAAGTGCCTTTCACCCTGTTACGACTTGATGAACCACTGAAACGATTTTGCAAACATTATTTTAAGGTAAAAAAATCTTACTTAGTGTTGCTTTAACTGTTTTCTGAAACCTTAAATCTGGCCAATACTAAGCCAGGGTTTACTGCAACTCTTCACTTATGTATGGGCTCACTGGACCATCTGATTTAAACCAGGGATTTAACCAGAGAGAGAGAGAGAGAGAGAGAGAGAGAGAGCCTCTAGTCCTGACACCATAAATCAACTTACATACGCACGCATGCTATTTATTTAATGGTGCCCGACACTACAGTCTTTTAAAAGTCAGCATTTACTTTGAAGACATCTTCTAGTGCCTAAAATGAAAACTGAATCAGTTAAAAATGTAGCCAAAAAATCTAGATAATACACATCTTGCATGCATTTGCATATTTTCAGATTGAAAAAAGTGACTAAAAGCATTGCCTGCACGCACACACACATACACAAATGCACAGGCTCTGCCTCTGTTGCTCTGCAGCAGAAATCAGAGCGCAGTCAGCTAGTATGAGACGCCGCAGTGTTACGCTATAGCACAGCCAGAGAAAGGGACATGGAGGTTGTAAGTGATGATTAGCAATCCGGCACGAGGCCCTGCACCCATACAGCAGCCGGCTAATAAAACACTATGCGTGTCACGGTTGATAAAAGACCTCCGTTCAATGACGACGCAGTAAAACGATGACGGCATCTCTCCCTCCCCTTGAGAACAGTGAGAAGAGCTGGGTAACTTACAATCGCAGACCCTTCAAACACATTAGGAGCAATTCTGCAATTAAATGCAGACAAAAATACAAAGTAAAACTGACCAGTTAAATGGAACCCAGGGGATTTAAGAAAGCAAGTATGTATCGACTTCTCATGGCTATGATCTATGGACCTAGATGTGACGAGGGAGATAAATATCTTAAATAACCAGCCTGGAATGATAAAGGAGATAAATGGTTGCTGTTCACTAGCTAGTGAATGACGTTCTGAGAGCCAAAGGGTGAATTACCTTTAATGTGCTCCAGCTGAGACATCTCTCAAACAAGGGTCAGTAAGTGACTTTGTTTTCCTAAAGTCGTTACAGATTTTTATATAATGACAGATATTATTGTCTGACAGGAAAAAAAGATGATATGATTAATCACTTAAAATGGCAAGAAAATAGTTTGGTGCATCTAATTGGGCCGTGTAAAGTTTACGAATTCAAATGACCTTATTATGCTCAGTATTCCAAAATTGGGATCACAAGCGTGACACCCAGAAAAAAATCGAACTTAAGCTTCAGGTGTAGTGATTATCAGGTGATTGTGGTGGCAGTGATATACGGGGCTTCTGCCGAGTAAGCAGGAAACTGATTCAGTTAAAAGCAAGACCCACGGGAATCTCTAGTTTCTGGGATACCGCGAATATCCTGTACTCCCAATGTGGATACAAACCTAAGCACAACCTGATACCAGTAACTTGCTTTGATAAGCTAGAATTTTTTCAAATATCTTGTGGTTAAACATATAGGCTACCTTACCATTGGTATGGGTCACATCATTTAATAAAGGGTACAGCATTACTAAATATTTTGCAAGCATGACAACATGTTCGCTATCATAGTTTCAATCAGCTCAATCAGGGCACTGATCAGGGAGTCGGTTATTTTAAGGACTGTGCAGCTTAATGTGCACAATGCACCTTAATGGAAGTTCTACAGCAAAAAACATAATCATGTGAGCCAACTACTCACCGCATATGACAACACGTGAAAGATGTTTTAAAAAACAAACAATTATTTAATTATGTATCCGCATTAAAAATACAAAGCTAGATAAGTAATGAACATAATCTAGCTAACATTTATAAATAATTTACAGCTGAAATGTTGCAACTTCCAGCAGTATTTATCATAAAGTACTTTTAAATAACAAAAAAAATATCCATGATGCTGTTGTTCATAAATGCCAGTAAGGATGGTGTACAACAAGGACATTGCCAGGGCCCCCGGCCTTAGGAAGGCCCTGTGATTTCAACCGAGGGGGACCCACAGCAACAACCTGCACCAGAGCCCCAGATACCCCAGATACAGTCCTGTTGCCATGAAATAGAGCCATCAGTGTCCCAATGCATAGTGAGTTAGGGTCCTCACCAGTGTCCGATTTCATGCACACACTGATTCACGACCAATGGAACTGAATTAGACGTAGCCTACTCATTCAGTCATGAGCAATTGCGCGTTTTCTCACTTGTTCCTGCTTTGCTGAAACGTTTTTCTAACTTTCGAGATCTGCGAGGCAATGCAATGCTCATAGCCAAAACTAAATGATGTACACCTCAGGGTAAATGTCCTGGCGTTCAATATCGTAGGGGTCTGCCAGGTGCCGTTCTGCAGTATGGACAACAGCGAAATGTGCATACTCTTTGCGCATGCGCAATGACTGGCGAGTGTGATCTGAATGCGTGTATATTAATTAAGGGGTTTGTTTTTGCGATAATGACCGTCTGGCTGTGGATTATTTGGCTTGCTACACGCATACTTATAAATAAATGGACATTAAATATTGATTTGGGAGGAAAATGTTTTATTAGCTTGTAGCGACTGCGGAGAGAACTGAATAGCCTACGACCACATCTATGAAGGAAACCAGTCAGTTTTACAGCGTTGCCACTCATAATTATTCAGAAATATTTGATGGCTGCATGCAGCGACTGACCAACCAGAATAAAGTAAAGTATTCTTGGAAGCGGAGTATGAAATCAAACTGGATAACAACGTTCTTCAAACCATTAACACATTTATTTTTCAACATTTCATAATTTACACGAACAGCCGAACCAAAAAGGTAAGTTTTAAAAAGGTGCCGAGGAGCCCACTGCGCATGCTGAGAGCGTTACAGCGAGACAAAATGCTGCATTTTCAGAGAGAGTGACAGAGAAAGACTCCACATAACGACCCAAAGTCATTTTCTCTCCAAACTTAGCTAGCAAACTTCCCAGAGGTTTACAACTTATCAGCTCATGCCAAGTAAGTTACGACAGTGGACTATTCCGATTGTTGCAAACTAGCTTGATTCAATGTACACTCACACAGGGACATACTACAAGAAGTTCACGTGAAGCGCGCTCAAAATCTCATACAGACAGGTTAAACAATAAAGTAGATTTCGAAAGATGCCGATACACTAACTCAGTAAACTCACCCTGGCGTATTTCGAGGAGTAGGGGTCCTCAAACAGCGCCCACATGCGGGGTCGCCAGATACTCCACCTGCTGGTGTTGCGACCATCCTCCTGTAGACACAACCTCTTCAAGTCCCCGTCCGCACCGCCCGTTAGCGCCGGGTCGTCCTCTGGCAGGTCCGGCTCGGGCGTCTCGAAGCTGTCCAGCGCTTCCTCTGCGTCCCGATGCTGTCGGTAGTTCATCCAGCAGCAAGCCTCCACGTCCGTCTCATCGATACCCCAGAACGCGAGCTCCTCCTCGAAGAGAGGACCGCAGACATCGTTGGGACAATGCAACTTCCCAGTGCGGTAATAGTTGAGGATGAAAGCAAAGGTGGCAGGGTGACGGTCAAAGAAAAACTCGTCGGATTTGGGGTCATAGTCAAAGTTACTGAACGCATCTGGCTCCGTGAGCCAGGACAAGCGGGTCCCAGGCAGCGTCTTCAGTGTGCTGCGGTACGTCTCGTGCCGAACCCCCCCGCAGTTTATCACTATTTTCTCGCTGTCTGAAGGACAAGTCATGTCTGCGCTGTAACATGCTTTGTTGGACGACTTGTTCCCACCCTTGCGCCCTTTGAAAGAGGAGACACACACCGAACTGAGCATAGAGGAGCAGGGGGAGGGAGAGGAGGAGAGAGAACCGAGAGGGGAGGGGGGGAGGAGGAGCCTGCGGTGGGAGAGAAGAAGAGAAAAGAAAATTAGTGATGCTCATACTTTTATACATCATCAAGATGGTAAAAGTAACCTGCTTTTAACTCATCATATCATTAGTTCTTGCACCAGTCGCGAATGTGCTCTGTATAGGTGGTACAATGCAATTGCAATGGTCAAATTCCTATTAAAATTCTGGAGAAAGTGCAAATATAGCCTAAGGCTGTTTGGGACATCATGAGGGGGCCCACTACGGTCTTTTATGGTATAGCCTATACTAATTGGGCCTGAAAAAGAAAGGACCCGTCCATAAACATTGTGTAATTTTAGTGATGACCCTGGGAAACATACAAAATTAGATGAATGTTGATGCAGGTAAATGGGATAAGCATTCGAATGAAGGAGTGAGTTTCACATAATAAACAGGAACGAGACCCCTCCTCTTTTGAAATGCCCACCCATCTCTCAATTTCCATCTTTTACCATCACTCAGCTCTCATGTCCCTCAATTCACTAAAACACTCTGCTCAATTACAGGGAAGGGAGATGAAAATGACTGAATGTTTCACAGCCACCCCCCTCCTCACACCATGCTCTCAGTGTATCCAATAGAAAGAGGGAGAGGAAGAGAATGAGAGCGAGAAGAAGGGTGGGAGGAAGAGGGAGAAAAGCTAAAGGCAGAACGATTATTTGCTGAGCTACACAAAATAGGGAGAAAAGACTGCAGAGCATTAACTCTTACACTATCCTTCGCTTTCTCTCTTTGGGCAGTACTAATGTTATGCAGACCAGTACAGTCAGTGTACAGTATTAACCTTTGTTGCAGTCATAATTGTTTGAGGATGCAATCTTCGAAATTACAATATTCTATTAAAAAGGGTTAGATATGCACAAACATGCATTCATATTTTCATGGCATTACACTGAGAAGGAATTTTTACTTCTTAGCCGTATGGTGAAACAAGTGAGTACTGCCGCTCTTTTTCCAATCAAAATGTCCCATTTTGGAAATATGGAGCAGGGAAGCTATTATCTTTTCCTCTTGGGATTATCAAACACTGTAAAAAAGTGGTAACGTGCCATTGGATCTATTTGTACCTGATTTAAACTTTAAAAATGACTTTTGTTAGTGTAACCATAATGTAGTCAAATTCAGCCATGTTAAACCAGATTTTTAAATGGAATAAAACAAGATAATTTAGAAGTTACTACACAAAGCAATTTTTTTGATTGGCTAGCAAAACAGTGTACAAGGGTCAGATTTCACAGACAAATGTCCTCCTCCCATGTTTTGCTGTGCTGTCTTTTCCGGCTTTCACAATAACTCTCGTATATCTGTGTGCCTGTTGTTTGGCTGTGCTGCATGGCTGCTCCATACATATCTGTCAAACTGTCTTCACTCATTACTTATCCACTCTTATCCACTCTGCTCAGCTCACTGTTTCCCTTGCTTTCCCTTATGTCCCCCTGTGATTAACTGTTAAAACAACATAGATCACAGGAGAGTGAGAACCGTAGGAAGGAGAGAGGCTGAATCATACGAAACAAGGTAAATTGATTCGCTGCTTCTCTAGTTGAAGATAGTTAGGTTGGTTTCTACATTCAGCACCATGGACAGCGTATGAGTTTCAGTTAATCATTTAAAGCTAAGGGCTGTATAAGCACTGGAAATATAGTTAAAAGTTGAGCAATTAAAAAAAAAATTATACCAGACATCCAAGGAAGTGTCTTAAACAAAAAACATACTAAAATAAATATCACCAATAATAATGTAAAAATAAAGTAATAATAAAAAATAAAAAAAATCAACACAACTGTGCAGGCGTTATAGATGCTGTTACAAAGTATAGTATTTAATTATATATAACTAAATCCTCAAAAGTGTAAACACTTTGGCTCTGCTGCACTATCAAAACACTATGTTTGCCTGAGCAGCCCAACATTCAACATCGGCTAAACCAATGGAGTATTTGTAAGGTATTTAGATATAACAAGCTTATGGTGGTAAAGTAAATAATTATAAGGAACACAAATGAGTAAAAAAAAAAAAAAAAAGATGAATAGGAAACCCTGAAACTGAGAGGAAACTAGGTGGGGAAAAAAGTTGTACTAACAAAGTAAAAAAAGGCCCCCATAAAAGGGAAATCATTGTTAAGTGTGTGCCTGGATAAGGGGGAAGTATATAGTGTGTCCATTGGGATGGGGGTTGGATGTAAGGACAGATACGCCTATAAAAGACAACAGCACTCTATCGACAGAGAGCGAGGAGAGAGGAAAAACGGAGAGAACAGGTTACGGCCACTGAGGGGAATGTGAAGGAATGACTGCAGTAAAGGTAAATGAGGCTCCATTCATAAATTATTCAATTTAGAGAAACAATTGTCAAAGAGAAGTGATACATACATGCACTATTATGTGAAGGAAGTAGATCTGACCCATATCTACGCTACTGTTCTTCTGTCTTACAGTATGCTGTACTGCGTCTGCATTATACCTTCACTCTAACTCTCTTTCTCTCTGTCTGGTGCAGTGTTGGTTCTTTGGATATTTCTACTTGCTATCCCACTGCAGTTGAAGCTCAGCGGTGCTCAAAGGCCACCTAGAGGCTTCATCGGGGAACTGCACAGCACAAAATACTGCAGTACCCCCTCCTCTTCAAGCTTTTTCCCCGACTGAGGTATGGATGCCTTATGCAAACCATATGTCGATGCATTGCATACAGGGTTGTGTCCCTTTTTAGCCCATACACTCTTTTAAGTAACAGAAATCACTTAAATGTAATATAATTGCTGATTTATACAAACCAAGCAGGTATTATCTCTCAGCCTCAACCTGCTGCTTGAGCCCAGTGATTGTTGAGGCTTTTTGCAATCCCTTCCCCTCTCTCTCTCTCTCTCTCTCTCTCTCTCTCTCTCTCTCTCTCTCTCTCTCTCTCTCTCTCTCTCTCTCTCTCTCTCTCTCTCTCTCTCTCTCTCTCTCTCTCTCTCTCTCTCTCTCTCTCTCTCTCTCTCTCTCATTTGTGTGCACTAAGCTACTCTTAGCCGAGTTGCTCATATCGACGTCTCCTGTGGAATACCACTAAAAGAAAATAAATTAACAGAGCAAGGACGCTTGCGTACACAAACATAGAGACATTCGCAAAAAAAAAAGCCATGTCACAGCACAATTAATTAGCTTAAAATGAATTTGTGCTGTGCAAAGACAAACTACACAGCATTGGCAGACATGCATAATACGATATATCCTCAGAAGGTCATCAGTCAGACTTTGACCTCTGCTTTGAAACTATATAATCACTCCACTCTGACTGCTGAGAACAGAAGTCCTTTTCAAAAGGCCCACTCTTTTTCAGCCAAGAGAAAGAGATACAGAAAGGAGCTTAGAAGACTCATCTTACAGTGACAGAATTGAGACGTAGGCTACATGACTATATTCCCATATCTAACACTAACAGTGTTCTTAAGATAGTTATAAGCCCCCCCCCACCCCACCCCACCCCAGCTCTAGCTCTCGTTAAAACCTAATTAATAAAAGTGCCCTCTCTGGTTAATTACCATCCCTTTATAGTCCCCTATTAAGTACTCAGGGAATGAAGCCGGAGAGAGATGGGATATAATTGTGTTAAGCCAAATCACACATGAACTTGATGGAAACTATTCTTAGAGGTGGGAAAGAATGGAGTAGGGTGACCAAAAAAAAAAAAGGAATTGAAAACCAGACGGAGGACAGAGAAGGTCATCTCAGGTGATCGGTAAGGGTCACACTGACAGGAAGGGGTATATTAGTGAGGATGCGAAATCATGGAAAGGCATCAGCAGGAGGAAGAGTAAATGATTTGAAATAAGGTCCTGCCAATAGGACGTGAGTGGGTGAAGGAGGGAGGGAGAAGGGGAGGGACCAGAGACTGAGAGGAATAAACAGAAAAAGTTTAACTGGCATGAGAAAGTGTAGAGGAAGACGAAAACAAGTTGGTGTTGCTTAAACTGGTCGTTCTCAACTGCTTCAAGATAATGTCCCTATTACCAAACAATGAACATATGTTAATATCATACTATAAAGTAGAATTAGAAGCACAGTCAAAAATGTCAAGAACAAAAAACAAGGGGAAATGTTTCATCCTCCATTTTAACAGCTGATTTAGCTATTCTTAACTGTATTTAGCATTGTTATTATCTACAACTTTATCAGAACCATTTTTTGGGGACCCTCCAGTTGAGAATCATTGTTAGAGTATTATGGGAGGATGAAAAGAGTTCCATCCACAGCCAAAATATACTTTTGACTGAGTATTGTCACACAAGCTGCTTATGCAGTGGCTGGAATGAGAACACTGAGTTATCTAACATACGTCGGGCATATACCTGACTCTCTTTAAAATAAAACAGAATTAGGGATCTGCTTCAGAGGATAAGAAAAGAGTGTGTATACAGGTATAAAGGAGATTTGACATTTATGCTAACATAGTGAAAAGACACCTGCATCAAGCCAATACAGCTTTGATAGACACGGTGACATGTGACATGGCAATGTGGGGAATAAAATCAGACACAATCATTGTGGGACATGAAACGTCCATATATTTGTGGACTGACAACTCAAAATGTAACATACCAGAAATAGGCCTACCTTTAAAAAAATTAAGGGGTTTAAGTCAGTGTGCGAATCATTGAGTGACTTTCATGGAGCCTACTTTTTCCTGTCAGCACCTTAGCTAACTGTAAAATAATAAACATAAAAAAAGTAAATAACTAAAGGTCGTCGTGAAATATTAATAATTGTGTAAATATATGATTATGTGACAAGTAGGCCTAATAAATGGGCTATCATGGATTGATTCGCCATGGATACCTACTCAGGCTAACGGGAATTCTATTCGCGAACTCGAAGTGACTTTTATGGTAACCAAATCATTCCATAATTCGCAGAATTGGTTTATAAGAGGAAAACAAAGTAAACCTGACTAGGCTACTTGTTGAGTCCGTTGACTGGCAGAGGGTTGGCAGGCCTGGTCTTTGCATGGGTACACCGGCCGGGCACACAGACAGAAATACTTTTGTCACTTGAACACAAGATCACGAGTCACGACACAGACACAGCACAAACACCTATATTACATACTCACTCGCTTTGGGTCAGGCTCTGTTCGCGTGCGTGCAGTGTGCGTGTTACTGAACACACGCACATGAACACACAAACTGCACAAAAACGCTACGTGAAATTTTGTGTTTTCTGACTGAATGGAGGGATCCTCGATCTGGCGTGGGGTCCGAATGACTGTGCAGAATACTTAAACATAAGATTTCGTTTTCTATAAAATGGCAACAGTTATGAATAATGTAAGAACTGCCAGTTCAAAACGAGCTATACTGCGTAGTCGCCCAGTTCCTTAAGTGATATAAAAGACTAGTTTTCTTAACATCTATATATTTATTATATATATCGCCTATGTTTGACCTCTGCTACCCTTGCACCTCAAATAAATTACTCCCGTTATATGCATGGGTGTTACAGGTCTATTATATAATTTTCGCCCTGATAAATAAGCATTTCTATGATTTACCAAAGCTCGTGTTAACCAATTAGGCTACTTTTATTCCCTAAACGAAACAGTCTATCCATCCAAGCGAAACGAGCAGCGGGGAAACACCTCTCTCTGTTTCTTTAATCTTCATGCACTCACTCCATTAACAGTCTATCCCTTTCTTCTCAGTTTTAGCATCCTTTCTTCCGTATCTTCACCTGCTCCCGTTGTCCAGGGTCAAAAAGACCGTAACCAGGTTGCAGACTGAGAGGTCTGTGTGAATTTATTTATGGCGAACAAGCAGCACGACTAGAAATGTTATTCCTGAAGCTGTCTGTCTCCCTTTATCTCTCCCGTCCGTTTTTCCCTCCCTTCTTTCACTGTCGATCTTTTGGTTTTGTAAATCTGTATTTCCATGCAATTTAGTCCTTAATCTAAAGGTGACATGGGATCCCTCTGTGGTGTTCCCTCCCTTCAGCTCTTTAAAGGGAAAGGTGGCAGCTGGTGCCCCCTCCCCAAACCCCACCCTGTGCTATTTAACCATATACACGCCAAGAATCAAACCTGCCGCTATCTCCAGCATTTCGTCCAGTGTCACGTTTTTACACGATTTTTTTTAGCCCTTAAAAAACGAACACATTCCAATACCCACTTCATATAGAATTATAAAATTAAACGAACGATTAAGTTTACGATAGATAAATAGATAGATAGACTTGAACTCATAGATCACATAAATTGAAGGATCAATACTTGGAGCTTAAAATTCACTTTTAAAGTGCATTTATTTGAAATACTACACAAAAATTATAGTATATACGGTCAGTGTGTTTTTCCTGGGCTTGTAAATTACCAGTGTAAATCTGTAGCCCTGATCTCCAGTCACTCCATACAGATTTGTGTCTCCTTCTTATGGGAGTTCCACACATACACACAGTTTGTGTCTCTGTGAAAGAGACAACAAAGCTACACCACTTAGGACAAGCACCAGGCCAGGTCTCAGAATTCTGCTTAAACTGATTCAACATCCAAGAAAATTTAATAATGTAAGCTGGGCAAAAGGAGGTAGATATTGGGAAACAAAATTATATCCTGAAGGGACACCAACATTTGGAAACTTCTGAAATTGAGCTTTATTGCATTAAAAATTGTAGGCTAGATTGTATAATATTCTAATTAAAATATAGTACGTGAGGACAATAAGAGGTCAAATGTGTCTAGACATGGTTAATAATGTTTATTCTGATATTTTATTAATGGCCATAACTGTCCCTTAGCCCATTTATCTGATTTTAATAGTTCTCTAAAAGATAAATCTAGCCTCCTCCACTTCGTAATCTTTGCCTTCACCTGTTCCTTAATTTTTATAAATCTAGCTTCCATATATGGCCTTAAATCAGTCTCTCCCTCTCTCTCTCTGGCACATTGCAGGAGGCAGAGCTGGGGGAGGAGAGTGAGATGTCGCAAGTGCAGGTTGGAAGAAACTGGGTGGGACAAAATTTGGACTAAATTGCAATCTTCTTCCAAATTCTCTATATTTTTCCCATTACCACCCTCTCTGTTATGTTTTCGGCTCTCTTTGTGAGAGTGGTAGTGCAGCCCTCTTGGGTTGTCTAGATGTGCAGCCAGATGCCTCCTCAGTGAAATGTCTGCCTCCCCATGGTCTTCCGTCTTTTTTCTCTAGGATTCTTTTTTAGCATACTTCCTGTAATCTTGAATGTTCATTTTTGAGTGAACGATCCCTTTAAGGATAAAGAAAACATAGCCACAAAAGGCACACACTCCAGATCAATAAATCAATAATGTTTCCACCAATCACTTCTAACATGTTTTGTTCTCCATTTATTACAGACCCTCTGAGTGACGCAGGAAAAGAACAGAAATTAAGCAATATTGATGAAACCATTTTTTGTTTAAGTTCAGATCAATTACAGCAAAACTGAAAATCAAACTTTTTTCTTATACCACTGACATCCTATTTCTTCCATATGTCTGATTCTCAGTACTATACATTTTAGGAACACCTAAAATGTCCAGTAACAGGCCTCTACCACCATCTTCTTCCCATTTCACCCCGCTTTGTGCAATGTCAGCAGCTTGTGATGTTGAGGGAGGCACAGGTACCATAAAACTGTCCATATACAGACTGCTTTTGCCCCTGTGGGGCAAAGGGAGAGGTGGGCGAGGCAGCCGGGGTTGACATGATAAAGTGGATGGAGCTTTGTGAGCAGGAAGTCGGCTGTGAGCCCCGCTCTTGGTAAGTTTTCCATTAAAGGTAGCTGCATCCAGGACGGAGCGAGGAGACAAATCTGACCTGAAAAAGAGGATTATCAATGACTAAGAAAAAGAAGGAGAAAATGATTTAGTGGGTAAAGAGGAGGCACAGGGCACACAGAAGAGTATTAATACATTGCATGCACGCACTAGTGCTTTGAGGTCCATTATCTTCTTGCCTTATCTCTATGCTGACCATTCACTTAGTAGTCCATATGTTACTTTGTCAATAGAAACACATTTGGGAGATTGTGGGTCCTCTGAGACTAAAGCTCTTCATTCTTAGCATAGGAAACATCTTAGTATATATGCCATATATGACACTGCTTTCTCGATAAAAAATAAGCTAAAACACACAAAGCTTTAAGCGCTCTTAAAACAATTTGTTCTTAGTTATGAAGTCAGCAAAGCAGATGTACCAGTTTAAAAAAAAGATGCACAAATGTGAAGAGGTGTGTGAATTAGTGTCAATGTGTGTTTGTGACCTTGAGTGCAGCCCACCAATCAAGAGCTGACAGGGTTCAGGAGGCCAAGCCAGAAGGTGAGATGAGCTATGGTTCACTAAATCATTTCAATCTGCCTGCAGCAAGCCAACATGAAAAATAAAGCATCCATCTGATGTGCCATATTCAATGTTGGATTAACCTTAAGCCTAATGATTATTAATGGGATCATTCACTCAAAAATGAAAGGTCTGTCATCATTTACTCACCCTCATATTGTTTCAAATTTGTATGACTTTGTGTAACACATTGCAGAACTTTTGAAGAATGTTTCAACAGTCTTCGTTCATACAATGAAGATAAATGGGGTCCAAAACAACATTGTACAGACAAAAACAAATGCTAAGACAACTTTTAAAAACTATTAAAATTTAAAAAATGTGTGTGTTCTACAGAAGATTAAAAGTCATACAAGTTTGGAATGAAATGGGGGTGAGTAAATAAAGACAGAATTTTACTTTTTAGGTGAACTATTTCGTTAAGTCACCTAAAAAACTGTGTTGTGATCAGATCTGACCCTGAAGGTTTGACCATGTTTGAAGACATTATTTGGTCAGTTAGATAACTAAAAGTGTATTATGTGCACTGTAATTCTAACTAATCATAGCAATGTGAGATATCTTGTGTGCAGCTCTGTGGTACACGTTCAAAAGTCAAGAACCAGTTGCAGCTTTAACTGCATGATTCACTACGGGCCAGATCACAGATTTACATCACCCCCTGAAGTGATGTTCTTGGGATGGATGCTTCGCTCTAATGGTATCCAGAAAGCTGATTACTAAATTAGTACATTATCCTCCACTTACATCCTGGGATTGAATCTGATCGGTAAACCTTTTGATCTCAATCATCACTTTTGAGAAGCCACCACTGCTGACCTCAGATCTTGGAATTAGCATTTAATCCACCAGTGCATTCACACTGCCCTCTAGGGGTGGAGAGTTACCTGTGAAAGTGCTTGAAGTCTGCTTTGGTTGTGCTACGGGCTGGTTCTTGCATGAACGCCTGAGCCGTTTCCAGCTGTCGGTACAGTGCCTGAGTAAAATCAAGAGAAGTGTGAGTCATTTCATCAGCCCAGAAGCTCAGGTGCAGATAAAACAGCCGGAGTGCTCCTGAATCCTCATAGCTGTGAGAGTCATCCATTAAGATACTTTACATGAATTAGCATTTTTTAATATTGATGTTTGAAATTCCCTCGTCCACACCATTTTTAAAATACATTTCTATTCTCCACTCTCCAAAAAAGCTCCTTAAGCCCACTTATAGAGCACAGTTAAAGGAATATTCTGGGGTTGATATAAATTAAAGGGAAAGTTCACTCAATAATCCACGTTTTGTCATTTTTGACTCTCCTTTATGTTGTTTCAAACCTGTATGACTCTCTCTCTTCAGTGGGACACAAAAGAAGATATTTCGAAAAATGTCTCAGAATTCTCCATACAATGGAAATCAAAGATCACCAAAACTGGTTACCAAGGTTCCTAAATATCTTTTTTTTGTGTTTTGCATAAGAAAGAAAGTCATACAGGTTTGGAAAAACTTGAGAGAGAGAGAACATTCACTTTTTTTGGCGAACTATCCCTTTAAGCTCACTTGACAGCATTTGTAGCTTAATACTGATTACCAAAAAAAAAAAAAGATTCCAGTGGCACACTTACAATGCAATTGAATGGGGACATTTTTGGAGGTATTAAAACAGAAATGCTTCTAAATTTTATAAAATAACTAAAATAATAAATTTTCTGTTAAATCTTGTGCATTATTTAAGCTGTAAAGCTCTAAGTCATTTTAGCCTTTGCACTCATGCTGATGAAGTTGTAAAATTGGAAACAACTTTACACAGAAAAGTTATTAAGTGATTGTTAATGTTTTCACACTAACATCATGTTATGATGCATATTGTTTACAGCATATGCTATATATGCTATAGGATTGACAGAAATCACTTCCATTGTAAGTGCTTCACTGTGACCCAGATTTTAACTTTTTTTAAAGAAAGGGATGGACAAGTGCAAACTTCACCTGGGCCTATAATGATCATCTTCATCTCACCTGTATCTTGCTATAGTGTTCACCAAGAGGTGCACATGCGGCTAATTGACCTCTGTACTGGTCCTGCATTTCACTGATGGGGTTAGAGACCACTCGCACCGTTGGATGGTCTCTGAGCTGCGGAGGATCAAACATAAATGACAAAAGTGTATATACAGTTCCAAAAACAAAAAGGACATTCTCCAAAGAAAAACTATCTTTTACACACACACACACACACACACACACACACACACACACACACACACACACACACACACACACACACACACACACACACACACACACACACACACACACAGATCTCACCCTCTGGGCCAGCTCATCGAGGAAGTGTGTGGTCCAGTGCGGAGGGGCTTTAGAGTGGATTTCATTGTACAGAGGTCCATTTAGTGGCTTTCGGTCATGCTCAGTGTGTGAGGTGAGAGAGAAGTGAGCAGAGGACGGCACTCTTTTCTGACGCTGGAGGACTGGAGGAAGAGGGGCATTCTGGCAGTGACAAGAAGATGCTTGAAGCACTAGGGTAGCCAGAAAAGAGTCTCTGGGTGTGCATAAGAAAAACTGGGTGTGCCACATTTATTGTCAGATTAATGTGCAATAAACCCAGACTTTGCCTATCTCTAACTTTACAGAATAGACTGGGCTGATGTGTAAAACTATAGGCTACTCAGCGCCAAATAACCATAATACTATATAAAATATAACTCAGGGCTCGACATAAAGCCTCTTCATGTGCTTGTCCTTCGAACAAGTAAATCGGTCACTTGTCCAAGTAAAAAAATTACTAAAAATGCAATAATAAAGCAATATTCTCATCAGTGTTGAGTCAACTTTGACATATTTAAATCTGCATATTTATGATATTTTAACCTTTATAAAGAGCATTTTTCCTTAATCGTTTTAAATATAGCCTATGCTTCATCTTTCATTTTAAATTCTTAAATTTGATCAATAAATTAAATTAAAATAATAAGACACTGGCTGCTACCAATCAAATTAAATAATTTACAGTGAAAAATTACCATGGCATTAAATAATGTTATGAGATTGTTTTAAATGTTTTTTGAATATACAAATATGAAATATTGGAAAGAATGATACTTTTAAACACAAAACTAAACCACCAATAGGTGGCGGCAGATCGCCGTCTTACTTAGTGAGTCGTTGAGCCATTTATTCAAACGATTCTTTCAAAACGCTGAATTGTTTAAGAATGAGGCATTTGTTTAATGGGTCATTGAATCTTTGACTCAACCGATTCATTCAAAACGCTGAATCATGATTCAGTAATGCGGTTATGTGTTCTGGTGAGATGTGCTGTAGTTCTGCTGTGATCTTTGTTTGGAACTATTTTCGCTGCTCAAATACAACAAAAAACAGTCAATATTTTGTCTAAAATGTAAGTGACTTAATATTAATTTGTTTATTAAACTGTCATATCATATGAAATCAGTGGTACATTTTCAATCGTGATGGTATTGCACTTGTGGTTGTGTGATGTTGCTTAACTGTATCATATCATATGTTATAAATATAAGAACTCCACATGAATTTTTACCGCTGTGCATGTTCATTAAGTTTCTTTGTGTGATCTGGGCTCATTTGTTTCCATTTCTCATGAGGCACGAGCCTCAACAGCGCAACCGTGTTACCGTAAGACAGTCAGAGGCTGTTTGCGGATTGGTTGGCAGTCCAAATGTCGGCAGATTTTTTTAACGATAACAATTAAAACATTTAATTACATTTTAAATTAACAAATTGTAAGTAAATAACAATAGGTCAAGTTTAGATTTTTTTTCTTTATATCAAGACTTAAAAAATTATTCTGGACTATTTTTAGGTGTGCCAGCTGCCACTGTGGGTGGCACCGGCACACCCGTGGCTACGCCAGTGGCTTGAAGGTATATTTGTTAGTAACACATCTTGTTTTTTCAGGTCTTTCATGTTCAGTACCTTTACAGTCAGTACACATGGTATCGAAGCTCTAATTAACAACAACAACAACAACAACAAAATCCCATGCGAATAGTTTCTGACAAAGTGTAACTTAATTCTTATTCTACAATTATTGTTTTGTAAATGTAAAAATAGTTAATATAGGCGTGTAAACAGACGAAATTCTTTGTTAACGTTATTTGGTTCAGTTTCGTTTTTGGTCAAAGTAACAACTTAACGTTAGCCTAACTTAGTTGCTAAAATAGCAAGCTGCCAGCTTAACAGTAACAACAACTGCTGTAGCTAACTTTGGTTACTATAATTTTGTATATCTTAATAAATCGACAGGTGGTGACCCTACCTTGCACGTTTTTAAATAAAACGGAGAAGGCTGCAAATACATATGTCCAATGGTTGTGCTAGTTTGGAACTTTCGTCTGTGGTTATCCATTTGATTTACTCCACAAAACTGAAAATAAACAATCAAATAGATGCAGGAACTCCTATCCGTCGAAAATTAGACAAGTGGCATATTACTGAAAAGACCCTTGATGTGTTTAGTCACAGATAATCCATCCATAGGAACGGAGTCTGTTTAGTTTATCTGCTGCTATGGAAACGAACGCGCGTCCTTTAGCGGTCAGATAAATTATTGCGCGAGGAATAAACGGTAAAATAGTCCTCGATCTATGAGCTTCATTTTTGAAGAAACATTAACCCATAGTTAAAATGCTTAAACGATAAAATAAAGTAAAAAATTAAATTAAAACTTTAGAAAAAAATTACAGTTATTTCTGTCACTATTATACTACGATGAGAAGATTTTAAAATATATATTTTCATTTGGTTTTTCTTCCTTTTTTGACAGACAGCGGTTAACATTCGGGAGGTTCACAACATTAGATGTGAATTTAATAAAATCTATTTAAACAAGTTCTGTGCCAGTCAAATTTCACCTCAAAATCAAAAGAAAGAAATTCTTTTTGTGACCATTCCGATTACATTTTTTTTAATGAGAATTCATCAGAGTTAAACTTTCATAAACCATAATGCAAAACAAATGCTCACTCTCATTAATATAAAATAAATGGTATATTATTTAAATTAAATATTAATAGAGATACATACATACATACATACAAACAAACAATCATGGGTGATGAGTCCCCCATTGACAAAGGAGACATTTCTACCCAATATATTTTCAGCTTATGGTGCATTTGGTCTCTCAAATCCTGAATTTATCCTGAACCAACTATGGTATTTTGTCCAAACTATGATTACCATATTAAACATTTATAAACAACTGACATTGGGCATAAATTAACTCACCAGACTATTAAATTACATTGTTGATTTTAATGTATGAATAAATATATAAATAAACAAAAACAATTCAAGCATTGAACATAGGCACTATGATTGGCAGAACAAAGCCACTCATAGCAGCACATTTTCATGACAACCCTATTTGAGTATAGCATGCTTAGAACAGAGCAATCGGTTCATTCAGGAAGTGTCTTTTGGAATAACAGTGTTTGTTATCCTGATGTAGTTCTCAGAGTGGAACACATGAGACAAGAATACTTGTACTGTAAATGTGATGCATAGCTTTAACTCTATTGTCAATGCATGTTTTCTGAAACACAGACTCGATAAGTGAGTGAATGAATAATGGTCTAGGTAGTAACCATCATGCCATTCAGTTCATTAATAATCCTACAGCAAAAGACACATTTTGTCCTACAAGTACACATACTGTGTGCTATTTGCACCCTCTAGGCAATTGTTAAAACTCTCTTCTGTGCTAACAGACACACACACACACACACACACACACACACAGAGCATATCACAGGGTGCAGGTTCCACATAAGAATACAATAGAAAATCAGACTCAAGACAGACCAAATGCACTATGCAGTCTCTCCCTCTGCATGGCCAGGGAAAATAGTATATTTGAGGTCTACATGTTTTGAGATCGTTCCACTAACATAAATATCTAAGGGTAGTCTACACTGATCTCCCCAGCGTCTTCTGTCATCCTACAGGAGCAGAAAGGGTGGGAGAATGGATCAGCAGGGCAGTCAGAAGTTAAGACTGGTTAACCCCTGGACTCCAAAGACCTGTCGGTGAAAAGACAATGATGGGGAAATGTTAAAATACAGATAGTTCTACATACAGAAAAAAAGTTCACACAGAACGTGTTTTTGCATTCCACGGCGCTGCTTTTCCATAATTTTTCTATGTAAAAGCGCTTGACGTCATGTTTGACTGTTGCACTTGTGTCTTTTGCAGCTTCTTGCGCATGACACGCCCTTCTAAAAATGTAGCGCTCAAGTTAAAGTAAGTTCAACTTTTTGATTGCGGTTTTTCCCCATTCCACTGCAAGAGTCTTGCATTTTTGCTTTGTTCTGTGTGAACCAGCCCATAGGCTACTTGCACGTTCAATAGTATGTCCCGTGTTTCATTAAAAACATTTAAATTGCCAGAGGACATGACATTTTTTATTTAATTTAATTATTTTAGCAGTCTATTCTATACATATAGTCTACTGTAATAAAAAAAATATGATGGTGATGTTATATTCACAAAAGAATCAAATATACAAAGAAGGTATGCACATCCCAAACAGCCTAATTGGAAAACAGGTGCAGGACCACAAACCATTGAAAAAAAGTTTGCACACTGAAAAAGGCAGCTTCAAACTAATTTTATAAATACGATTTTATAAACTAATTTTATAAATAAATTCACAACCATTAAAAAGTCTGGGGTCAGTAATATATTTAGTGTGATGTAACAAAAGATTTCCATTTCAAATAAATGCTGTTCTTTTGAACTCGCTATTCATCAAAGAATCCTAAAAATGCATCATAAAACTATTAAGCAGCACAACTGTTTTCAGCATTGATAATAATAAGAAATGTTACTTGAGCACGAATATTAGAATGATTTCTAAAGGATCATTTAACACTGAAGACTGAAATAAATTAATAAAATAACTTTGCCATCACATGAATAAATAACATTTTAAAATATATCAAAATAGAAGAGTTATTTTAAATTGTAATAATATTTCACAATATTACTGTTTTTACTGTAATATTTATCAAATAAATGCAGCCCTGGTGAGCATCAGAGACTTCTGAAAAACCTTTGAACAGTAGCGTACAGTAGCTTACTTTTAAAGAAACAAAAATGTCCTCTGATTACTAATCGGCTGAGAGAAGATGAGAAAAAGGAAAGAACCACAGGGGAAAAAAGGAAAGGGAAATTAAGTGATAAAGTCACACTCACGAGTAGCTGGTATGTTGCTGGCGTCTCCTGGCACTTCTCATCTTCTCAAACCTGGCTTCCATCTCTTCTAGGACTTTAGGGGTGTAACGCACCACCAGCTTCACTGAACCCTGAGCTGCCTTTAGCAGCTCTACAGCTTTCTCATGGTGTTCTCCCTCCACACTCTACACACAATGATAAACAAATGAAGGACATTTTGAAGTCTGCAAGCATGTAAACATGTTATTGTGGCTTTTGAAATCAAAGCCATGGTCACATGCAAAAATATAGCTGCTAAATTATACATCTCAAAAACACACTGTCACAGCATACCACTCCATTAACAGAGAGCAGCTGATCTCCTCTCTTCAGACCACCCTGTCGGTCAGCAACACCTCCTGGGATGACCCTGGAGATGTAGATGGGAGAGTTTTGTTCTTTTCCCCCCATTATGTTGAACCCGAGCCCCTCGTCTGTTTTAGGGAGTTCAACCACTCTTGGGTGTGCATGGCCTTCACTGGCTGCGAACGCTGCTACTGTGGCCTGGGGGAAAAAAGAGATCAAATAAGTGTTTCCTTCAGTATATGGTGATCATTCTTGATTAACTTAGTGGCAGATTTTTGGTAAAAAGTTACCTTGGCAGTGGCTTGTGCTCGGACCTCGGGCCCACCTATAATGTCCAACGTATCATAAAGCTGCTCGTAGACCTAAAAAACGGCCAGTCATGACATTTCAGCTATATTGTGAGAAAGTATTTTGTAGTTTACAGTGAGTTTGTAAAATGTAATAATTAATAATACCAAAATACTTTGAAAACCGCTTTGCAGATCATTATTTAACGTACATTTAAATACCTGAAATTTCCTGAAACTTTGATTGATATTTTCATGTGCATACATTATGGGATGTACACAGACTACTGATGTGTTTAAACATTTTATAATGATTGTTAATGACTTCATAAGGGGTAATCATGTACAATCAGCTGGTCACAATTGAAAAATAAACCCCCAAAGTATGCCACAAACCTTTCTGCTTCACAACAGGATCTTGATCATCCAGTGGGGGCTTATTTTGTGACAATGACCATGTGAATGTTCATTTTCTTGCTTATTACATGGCTGTTGATTACCAAATAATTAAATGGACATTAAATATTGATTTTAGCTTTAATTATATAAAAGGAAAAAGACATCACGGTGAAATGAGAGACACGACAGCTACACTGTGATGCCATAGAAGAATCATTTTTGGCTCCCCAAACAACCTTTCAGTCAAAGGTTCAGTTAAACTAAAGGAACCAATTTTTTTTTCTTAGCTTGAAGAACATTATATTTATCTGAAGAATCTTTTTTTTTTTCAAACTATAAAGAACCTTTTGTGGAATGGAAAGGTTCCATGAATGTTAAAGGTGCAGTAAGTGATTTCTGAGAAGCGCTGTTGATATTTGAAATCACCAAAACAAACACAACCATACCCAAAATGATCACACCCCATCACTTTATCTTGATAGCTCTGCTCCCAATTCACAAACACAAAGGCAACTCCACCCTCATGTCATGAGTGTATACGCCCATTACTGCTGATTGGCTACAAGTGTGTTATGGCTCTCGGTCCTATCCACTTTCAACAGCATTTCTCAGAAATCACTTACTGCACTTTTGAATGTTCTTCATAGAACCATTCATGAAAACTGAATAAATCTGAAAAGGGTAAATATCTGTTTTATTGTTGTGAACAGACTGGACTCCTGGCATAGGAACTGATTACCGCAAGTCAAGGAGTGAGACATGGAGGCTAAAGTGAGATGTAGTCTCAAAGAGACAGGAAAGTGAGTCATTCAGGAGGAGGAACAGTGCAGCACAATACTTTCTATGAGAAACGACCATATATGTGTGGGGGTGGAAAAGGACAAAATCCTGTGTTATGTGGTGATAATTTCAAACCTTCATTTTAACCTAACTACTTACACTCACCTAAAGGATTATTAGGAACACCATACTAATAATGTGTTTGACCCCCTTTCGCCTTCAGAACTGCCTTAATTCTACGTGGCATTGATTCAACAAGGTGCTGAAAGCATTCTTTAGAAATGTTGGCCCATATTGATAGGATAGCATCTTGCAGTTGATGGAGATTTGTGGGATGCACATCCAGGGCACGAAGCTCCCGTTCCACCACATCCCAAAGATGCTCCAATGTAGGGGTGTCACGATTCTCCAAATCCTCGATTCGATACAATTTTCAATTCTAAGGTCACGGTTCGATTCGATTCTCGATTTTTACATTTATTTTTTTAAAGCCGAAACGGATGCTCTCTGTCTTACATGCGCTTTATGAGGCACATACGCAAGATCTCTCGCTCTCTCCCGTGCGCGCGCTATACGGTTTGGAGCACAGTTTTTTCTGTCTCGCATGCGCGATTGCGCGCTCTTTGTCGCTCGCTCACTCACTCTAGATTTCGGGAGATTTTAACTAATTTGCGGGCATCAGGGAGCCGCTATCAATATGCGGGAGACTCCAGGAACTTCCGCGAGACTTGGGATGTCTGCAAAGTAAACTGTGGCTTTTTTGAAGTGCGAACGTTGTCAACATAACTCACTGGAAATCCAAAAAACTTACACACCTGCGACTTCAATGAAAGAGGAGGGGGTTCAAGTTCAGTCGATGGGTCTCCTGCATCTGCAGTTGCCATGCTATCTTTTGAATGGCTGTAGCTAAGTTAGAGGTGGTTGACCATAGACTCGCAGCTTTTCAACACGCGTGTTTTTTTTCCGCTTGGCACGCCGACCGGACTTGACATGGGGGCGTGGCAGCATCGACGATTCCATTTTTTAATTCGATCATTCGAATTTTTTTTAATTTCGGTGACACCCTTACTCTATTGGGTTGAGATCTGGTGACTGTGGGGGCCATTTTAGTACAGTGAACTCATTGTCATGTTCAAGAAACCAATTTGAAATGATTCGAGCTTTGTGACATGGTGCATTATCCTGCTGGAAGTAGCCATCAGAGGATGGGTACATGGTGGCCATAAAGGGATGGACATGGTCAGAAACAATGCTCAGGTAGGCCGTGGCATTTAAACGATGCCCAATTGGCACTAAGGGGCCTAAAGTGTGCCAAGAAAACATCCCCCACACCATTACACCACCACCACCAGCCTGCACAGTGGTAACAAGGCATGATGGATCCATGTTCTCATTCTGTTTACGCCAAATTCTGACTCTACCATCTGAATGTCTCAACAGAAATCGAGACTCATCAGACCAGGCAACATTTTTCCAGTCTTCAACTGTCCAATTTTGGTGAGCTCTTGCAAATTGTAGCCTCTTTTTCCTATTTGTAGTGGAGATGAGTGGTACCCGGTGGGGTCTTCTGCTGTTGTAGCCCATCCGCCTCAAGGTTGTGCGCCTCAAGGTTGTTCTATCAGCTTGAATCAGTCGGCCCATTCTCCTCTGACCTCTAGCATCAACAAGGCATTTTCGCCCACAGGACTGCCGCATACTGGATGTTTTTCCCTTTTCACACCATTCTTTGTAAACCCTAGAAATGCGTGAAAATCCCAGTAACTGAACAGATTGTGAAATACTCAGACCGGCCCGTCTGGCACCAACAACCATGCCACGCTCAAAATTGCTTAAATCACCTTTCTTTCCCATTCTGACATTCAGTTTGGAGTTCAGGAGATTGTCTTGACCAGGACCACACCCCTAAATGCATTGAAGCAACTGCCATGTGATTGGTTGATTAGATAATTGCATTAATGAGAAATTGAACATATGTTCCTAATAATCCTTTAGGTGAGTGTATGTTCCATTAGTGTTCTGTGAAATCAGCACAAAATAAAAGGTAAAAATTTAGTATATATTTCTCACTGTTTTTTAATGAAGGCAATTTGTTCCAACTGAAAGCAAGAGAATCCAAGAAACAGTTATTAATAGAAGCAAATTCACAGAGTAAAGCGTCCTTGTGTTTGAAGGACTTAAGTAGCCTTTACCTCTCTGATGGCAGCACAGAACTTGCTCTGTAGAACTCTCTGTAGAGCCTGAAGTTTTGGAGGAGGAAGCTCACCGCTTCTTTGAAGCCTGTCCAACAGTTCTATCACCCTGCAAACATCTGGGGAGAAATAAACCATTACAGAAATATACATAAAAAACCTACTTGCTAACAAAGATAACCTGGGATTGAAAGCCAACTAGTCATGGAATGGTCTGGTTATTATGAAACTATTAATCTGCTGATTTTTTTTAAAGCACCATATTTTTAAAGGTGCTCTAAGCGATGTCACGCGTTTTTTAGGCCAAAACATTTTTTGTCACATACAGCAAACATCTCCTCACTATCCGCTGGCTGCCTGTCCCCTGAACACACTGTAAAGAAACATGATCTCTGTAGACAGCCCAGGCTCCACAAACAGCAACAAAAACAAACTGCGGCGACCCGCTCCCCGAAACATAACAAACTGTTCCAGCCAATGACCGACAAGAAGGGTTTGGGGGGTTAGTGTGCGGATGAGGAGGAGGGAGGGTCTAGCTAGCCTCCATTTTGTTTGACAATAGTTCGAACGTCAACAAGAAGTGACGTCACCCAGGATCGCTTAGAGAACCTTTAAGTAATGATGCCTTAAACCCTTCAAACCTGATTGTTTTTCCACGGAGCAAAAAATGTTTTATCCACTTGATATTTGCTCCAATGTATAAATTAGTCTAAAAACAAGATTTGTGCTCATTTTTTATTCAATTTTTCATGTCCACTACAATGGATACCAGGACTGAAGCAATATATATATATATATATATACACTCACCGGCCACTTTATTAGGTACCCCATGCTAGTAACGGGTTGGACCCCCTTTTGCCTTCAGAACTGCCTCAATTTTTCGTGGCATAGATTCAACAAGGTGCTGGAAGCATTCCTCAGGGAGTTTGGTCCATATTGACATGATGGCATCACACAGTTGCCGCAGATTTGTCGGCTGCACATCCATGATGCGAATCTCCCGTTCCACCACATCCCAAAGATGCTCTATTGGGTTGAGATCTGGTGACTGTGGAGGCCATTTTAGTACAGTGAACTCATTGTCATGTTCAAGAAACCAATTTGAAATGATTAGAGCTTTGTGACATGGTGGAAGTAGCCATCAGAGGATGGGTACATGGTGGCCATAAAGGGATGGACATGGTCAGAAACAATGCTCAGGTAGGCCGTGGCATTTAAACGATGCCCAATTGGCACTAAGGGGCCTAAAGTGTGCCAGGAAAACATCCCCCACACCATTACACCACCACCACCAGCCTGCACAGTGGTAACAAGGCATGATGGTTCCATGTTCTCATTCTGTTTACGCCAAATTCTGACTCTAACATCTGAATGTCTCAACAGAAATCGAGACTCATCAGACCAGGCAACATTTTTCCAGTCTTCAACTGTTCAATTTTGGTGAGCTCTTGCAAATTGTAGCCTCTTTTTCCTATTTGTAGTGGAGATGAGTGGTACCCGGTGGAGTCTTCTGCTGTTGTAGCCCATCCGCCTCAAGGTTGTGCGTGTTGTGGCTTCACAAATGCTTTGCTGCATACCTCGGTTGTAACGAGTGGTTATTTCAGTCACTGTTGCCCTTCTATCAGCTCGAACCAGTCTGGCCATTCTCCTCTGACCTCTGGCATCAACAAGGCATTTCCGCCCACAGAACTGCCGCTCACTGGATGTTTTTTCTTTTTCGGACCATTCTCTGTAAACCCTAGAGATGGTTGTGCGTGAAAATCCCAGTAGATTAGCAGTTTCTGAAATACTCAGACCAGCCCTTCTGGCACCAACAATCATGCCACGTTCAAAGTCACTCAAATCAACTTTCTTCCCCATACTGATGCTCGGTTTGAACTGCAGGAGATTGTCTTGACCATGTCTACATGCCTAAATGCACTGAGTTGCCGCCATGTGATTGGCTGCTTAGAAATTAAGTGTTAACGAGCAGTTGGACAGGTGTACCTAATAAAGTGGCCGGTGAGTGTATATATATATATATATATATATATATATTAACCCTACAGTACTTATAAACTAGAGTTTAAACACAGTATGTGAACTAGCATTTAAAGACCCCCTGTGGTGAAAATCAAGCTTTTAATGTTGTTTAGGCTATATGTTTATGTGGTGTTTTAATATGCTTTAAGACAAACCATGAGCAAAGTAATAAGTCAACACCATTGCAGATTATTTTCTCCTTAAAACTGCAGTGAACCAAAGACAGTTTCAAAAACATGGTTTGAAATCGCTGGTGTTTCTGACGTCGCAGACTACCTTGTAACAGGGCAAATCATCATTACTGTGCTGCCAAACAGTGTCTCATTGAGTCTCAAGAAAAGCCAGGTTATCCCGGTATATTTTTTAGTTGATATGTAAAATTGTGTACATTTAGCAATATAGCGGTCGAATTATGTATATGATGTATATTACGATGTTACGATGAACTATATTCCTTTCTCCAATGAGTTGTTCAAAGCGTTTGTAAGGATGCTGATTTTTGAAGGCAGCTGTCTGACTCTGAGATGGTGAACGGGAACATGGTTTGTCTAACATTAGCAACACATTATTAGCTGTTTGATCACGTAGTCAAGCAAAAGGCTAATCATATTAACTACCATTATGTGTCTGACGTTGTAAAGAGATACCATTGTGCAGCGTTTACTTCAGTGAAGTTGACTGAGTGGATCTCTGAGCTGTTTGAGTGAGTGGAAGCGGGGCTCATTTGCAATAAACGCAATAAAAATGCATTTGTTGGTGTATTTGAGTGTACTTGCTGGTTTTGATAAATATATGATTGTGTTACAGCATCACAGTGTGTGTGGAGTGCGTGTGTTGCTGTGTATTCACTCATTTCACATTCGCTGTTGCTGTTTTTCACTAAAACTAATGAAAAACTGAATGACAGTTTATGGTTACAACATTGAAGTCATAAATTCGTATGAATAAAATTTATTCATTTTATTAAAACCCAATGTCCATTGCGATAGACATTTAAAAAATCCTGTGTTCTACAGCTCTGAAGGATCTTTTTATCAAATTAACTATTAGGATCAAATTAACTACGATATTTATACTGAATATTATCACTTGATACTATTAAGATTATAACAGGTGCATGCTGATGATGCTCCTCCACCTCCTGCCAAGCAGGTCTTATGTGATGCCTGAATTCCAATCATATTAAAGGGTTAGTTCACCCAAAAATGAAAATTCTGTCATTAATTACTCCCCCTCATGTCGTTCCAAACCCGTAAGACTTTCACCTTCACAACACAAATGAAGATATTTTTGATGAAATCAGAGCTTTCAGCTACACAACTACCACTTCAAAAAGTTCCTAAAGAAATCGTAAAACTAATCCAGATGAATAGAGCAGTTTAGTCCAAATTTTGTGAATTTGAATTGACAAATTTTCAATAAGAGATTTATATGAACAACAGATTGAATTTAGGCGATTTCATTACATAAATATTTGTTCCGAAGAATGAAGGTCTTATGGGTTTGGAAGGACATGAGGTAATGATGGTAATGACAGATTTTAAATTTGTGAACTAACCCTATGGGTCATTCTTTCATTGGTTGATCAGGGACCAATCAGTGACCAGGCAGTTGAAGGGGTTAAGGGCAGTTTTTAATAAAATGACTAAAGACGCTAGCGGTCTAACGTACTACTGCATTTTTTTGACAACCGGGGGAGGCACGAATCAACGGTGAAAGATGTAGCATAGAAAAGATAACATATACCCGTATACAACGCAAAAATGAACACGGATGCAATTAGATCTGGGAAATTACTCTCTGCTATGTGCTTCCATTTGCACAGATGTAACATAAAACAAACTAAACTACTACATTGATTCACTCACATTATGGGCACGAAATGCCCCGCTTAGTGGTCACTAATGCTGCCTGATTAACAGACACAAAAACCTGTAAGTTTATTAGCTAAGCTATCTGCCATTTTCCAAATGCTACTGGTCTGATATAATACATAGGACCAAGTAAACTACCTCTTTCCAAGCAGAGCGGTTCCGTCATCGCCGCCATGTCCACATCTTTCCCCGTATGATAATACGATGACATCATGAAGATCGTCTGCTGCAGTGGAGGACTGAAGCGTTTCACCACAGGTAAAATTGTAATAAACTAGAAGATATCGTTTTGGATCAAAATGAACGGATTTTCAATTGTAAGAATCAATCGTATCTGCTGCAGCTCCAGTGAAAGCGTAGATGCTGCATTCAGCTAATGAGGAGAGAAGCGCGAAGAGTCTGTGCACTCGACTCGTCCCAGGCAGCCGCTAACTGAATGACGCAATACTACACGTCAGAATCAGAGACGCAAGTTCAATACCGTTTGTAAGACAAGGAATCAAGAACTCAATGTGTCAATAAAAAATTATTTATTCAAGAATGAAAGGCAGAACCAATACGACCAGAGATACAAGCAAAAAAGATTAAAGAAAATTAAGAGCAATTTTCGTGAACCCATGGCAAACATTCCCATTTAAAAACACAATTGTGTACATTTTTCCTGTATTTGTTCCTTCAGTAAAATTAGGGGCCACTGTACGATTTGCAGACGATCCACATATTAGACCAAATATATAAAACAAATGTACAAGACAAAAGAAAAAAAACCACAGAAGAGAAATTGGGGGGGGGGGGGGGGGGGGGGGGGGTGGGGAAGACTAATTTAAAAGCAACAATGTACAGACATGTTTTAAACCATCAATTACCCATTCCTTACTGAAACTACACCGTAAAAGATACAGTACTTCAGTCAAGAGACCTCGTCCCAGCAACACGGTCAATTGATACTTAGTTGATCTTATAACAGGGAATTCAAATGCATCATAAGGCTAGTTATTAGGTGAAGTTTTATGCAATCAAAGCCCCAGATATAATTTAAACAGGCAAAAAAAAAAAAAAAAAAACACTCAGAGTTCAGCTACATAATCTTTTTATTTAACAAAAGTACGCTTCTTACCAGGGAGACACTAAGCTCTCTCAGTGATAGCTGTTGGTAGTACAGTATAATACTCACACACTGTGGACATAGTGCAAGCAAAGGAGGGTGTAGGCATTAAATAACGGTTGAGGATATTTGTGAATCAAATCAACATTACAACTGGATAACCTTGGATCATTCACACAACAGTGGCACTCTCAGTACTCATCACCCTGACCCTCCATCCTGTACCCATTCTCATTGGAGGCATAGCCCTCTCCTGACTGGATGGAATCCTGATCCATCATCATCATCCTCATCCCATCCTGTGAACCTTCTTCTGATTGTGGTGGCACTGGCTCTTCACCCCCATCACCTCCGTTACCCAAACCCTCTTGATCTCCTGAAGAGGATACATGTCTATCTTCCCTCCGGTCCCCACGGTCCCGATCACCCCGGTCCCGTTTGTGTTCACGATCTCTATCCCTATCTCGCCTTCTCTCCCGATCCCTGTCTCTATCTTTATCTCTATGGCTGCGCTTCCTATCGCGGTCTCTTTCCCTGTCTTTGTCTCGATCCCTCCCTCTCTCTTCTCCTTCAGGCCCTCCCTCCTCACCTCGTCCTGGTTCACCTCGTCCTGGTTCACCACCCAAGGGGTCCTCCATACCCCTTTCTCCCCCTTCTGGAATCAGTCCGTCAACTACCCCACCCATGCCTTCCTCTCCTCCTTCTGCACCCTTGCCTCTTTCCCTATCTCTCTTTCTATCCCTGCTCCTGCTTCTCCTCTTGCGGTCTCTTTCTCTATCCCGGTCTCTACTCCTCTCTCGGCTGTCTCCAGCGGCACCTCTGTCTCTTTCCCTTTCTCGACGTCGGCTGCCACCCCCAGTCTCCTCCCCCGGAACCACAAGAGCCCTCTCACGCTCACGAGATCCGGTGCGTCTGCGTCTCTCTCGGGATCGAGAGCGGCGGCGCTCTCCACGCTCCCCACGCTCCTTCTCTCGGTCACGTTCGCGACTGCGTTCCCTGCGTTCGCCACGATCCCGATCACGGTCACTGCAGGATAATAGACGATGGAGTTAAGGGCTGAAAGGTACCCATCTAAAAACACAATTATGCTTCACACAACTTACCTTCCAATTGGTCGGTCATCATAACGCGAGGTGTCATCTCTGCCAGAGTGCTTGATGTTGACATCTGCTCCTCCTCGCCTTGTACCCCCAAGACCTCCACCTGGATAATAAAATGCATGTATATTGATGATGTGAAGTATAAACACTTGCTATCTCAACCATACCATCTTTACCAGGGGTGGGCAACTCTGGAACTCAAGATTGACTGTCATGCAGAGTTGTTTTATCAACCCTAAAACAAACATTCCTGAACAAGCTAATCAAGGTCTTCTGGATTACTAGAAAGATTCAGGCAAGTATGTTGAGGCAGGCTACAGGACATTGGCCCTCCAGAAACAGCATTGAAAACCTCTGGCCTGGAAAAGAACATTGAAGTACTTACCAAGTCGTCTGGGGTGCCATCCTTTGACCGTTCTTCCTCTTTCAACATCAACAAGTACTCTACGTCCATCAATCTTTTTGCCATCCGCATGCTTGTAGGCAGCTAGTAGAGTTGATAGACGAGCAATAGAAAAGGGGAGATTGAGGAATGAAGAGAATAAGGAGTACAAAGAAAGAAAGAGGTGGACAATGAGAAACCAAGAACACACACAACAGTATTTCCTACTACATACCTTGAATTTGGGATGAACTCCATTAAAAACATTAGGCTATTTGAAGACACACGCTTACCTCCGAATGGATAAGACACCAGGAATGAGATAAACTGACAATGCTGCTATGAGCTAAAAAAAAAAAAAAAAAAAACGAACAAAAAAAACCTATAAAATGGCTATGTTCTACCTTAGTTTTAGTTAATGATAACTCGCATGGATTGAGACACGCATTAACAAATATTACAAAAACATTGTCTGTATTAAAAAAAAACAAGCATTATTGAAGTTCATGATTTGGATTATAGATTTAAGCAGATTTTCCCGACTGCATTCCTTAAAATAATTCCAAAGCACAATAACGCTTTTATAAGAAATACCCTGTATGATATGAATTCATGATCCATATGCTAATTTCAGAAGTTAACAAAAACTAAACTGAATATTGCAAGTTGCAGAATATGGCAAATACCTTAAACTAAGTGTAACATAGCAAGGAATGTGAGAACATTGCAGTGGCATCTAAATTCTCAGTATTGAAGATAAAAACTCCAGATACCACTTAAGCTGGGTGCACAAGGTACAATTTTTGATGTCGTGCTATCTCACAGGCGATTTTTCTCAGGAGAAATCGCTTGGAAATTGCTGATGCTCGTATTGTCACGGCTCGCATTGTGTGAGGAATTACGAGCAGAGGACGCTACGAGCACCTCCAGACACCCCGATAATTGTTTTAAACACTCAATTGGGTGAGTCAGCCCAATTTTTCAGTCCCCTATTGCCAAATCATATACAACTACGTCACATAGGCTAGATCTATCAATTATTATAGCCCAGTTAAAGCAACCCTACAGGACATACACTCAACAAACTAGAATGTATTTGTGTTTGTCAAAGGAATGGCCATGCTGTTCTTTGCTTTTCACCAAATCATTTGCACATTCGTCTTTATTTTGGGTCTTTTTTCCATCTGAAGGTATAGCAGCAACATGCTCCAGAATCTCCGTGTTAAGCATGAAAGCTCATATGATTGCCGCTGTCTCACAGTACAGTCGTGCAGTGTACCAGTTACTTTGACACGATTATCAGGTTAACTCGTAACGTGCAATGGCGCACGACCTCCTGAGTGTCTGAACTCATGCAGTGTATGCCTGCCTTTAGAGTTTAAAAGACACTAAAACATGTGCTTCCTAAAAACTATGTAATATTCAGGCAAAATGCCATCTCTCTGGTATTCAGAAAGAAATGTGAAGGTTTAAGTGCTATGGTAAACCTGGGGGGTTAAGTGCTACATTTAAGTGCTATGGTAAACCTTAAAACTGACAAATAAAATTTAAGGCAGTTCTAACAGTGCAATGTGGATCGCAAAAACAAAAGCATTGAACTCAACAGCTAGGACAACTAATCATCTCCAAATTAAGTGTGATCCACATTAAACTGCCCATTAACGCCATTTTATTCTCATTAAATCTTGATAAAAAAGCCACAAGAAGAAAAAAAGGCACTTAGTGAATACAGTTACACTAAAAGCCACTCTTTCCATTCTCCAAAATCTCTCAAACATTCATTCACACTCATACAGAATTTCTATGAACATTAAAGCACCATTTGCGCTCACATCACGGTAGACCAAAGGGGAGGGGAAAAAATGGGCTGAGCTTTACTTCTAGCTTCTATACATTATAAATAATGGGTATGCTAGAAGTACAGCTTTTAAGAAAGTTACACAATTCCCACACACATAAATTTGGCCAATACCCTTAGGTCTTTTCCTTCTGCTGGTCTAAGATAAGTCTAAGCCCTTAAGTATTTTGTCATATCCCAGTCTTACCACATTACCTGGAGATGCTATCTTACCATAACACCTGGCCAAGGATGAAGTCCTTGATGGAACACCCCACGGAAACGTAGCCTGGCGATTCCAGCAGCCTCGAATCAAAATGTCTTTGTGTACATTTGATACAAATTTTTTTTTTTAAATCAAAACTGGACAACCTTGAACCAAGGAATTATGGATCCAATCCATTAACAAGGGATACGATGAAATCCACGAAGCTATTCTGGTCTGCACTGTCGACGGCGTTCAGTTGAAACCCATCATGAGGGCCTTACCATCAAACCCTCAAGTTATTTCGCACACATCTGTCCTGACATCTCATCCAGAGGGCCTTACCAACAACCCTCAGACTACCATACCAAACTAGAGGGGCTTACCAAACACCCTCAGCGCACCTACCCAACAAGAGGGCCTTACCATCCACCCTCATTTGAATAGTTAACAGAGGGCCTTACCACAACCCTCACCTACCTAACCAACAAGAGGGGCTTACCAACCACCCTTATATCCATAAAATCTCTCAGATCAGTTTTTCCATTTAGTTTAAATTCTTTACGATTCTACAGGGCCTTGCAAGTCAAAATTTAAAGGAAATAATAAAAAAATGAAATACAAAAATAGAAATCAGACTGAGAAAAATGCGTATTAGGAAACTAAATTGTATAAACCTTTAACATGTGTTAAGAAAAGTAAAGATAATTCTTATTTTATTGGTTGTATCCATGTCATTTTTTCAGCCCGTTAAGAATATGTAAATAGTGGTGAATAGCCAGTTTGGACACAAGGAAAGTCATAGGAAAGGTTGCAGCTCCTCACTTAACCTAAATAGACATTTCTGAGGCCTATGGATCAAGCGTCTCACAGAAACTCTGGGACTGAATTTAACCATTGATGCTCTACAAGGTGAATCCATGGCAATAAGAATCTTTAAATGTAATTAGGGTCCGTGCAATGATTTAAATATCCAAAGTCCTTAGTTAACCTAATCTATTAAAGCCAACACCACCATTTCAGCAAAAATAGTGCCTACACACTACAAATTTTTATTTAAATAAAAATGCATTACCAAATAAGTCTTTGTGCCATTATTTACATTAAAAAACAGTTAAGGTCCTGGCTTATTTGATATAGTAACGCTTGGCAATATAGCAAGCAATAACGTAAGACATGTTCACAATGTCACTGCACAACACAAGAGCAGATCATTTTCTTATAGTTGTTGCATAGCAACAGTTAAGGTGCAATCACATTAGCACTAAATTTTGCCGGTAAAAATATCCACTGTCAAATTGTTAATAGTGTAGCAAAGTCACTATCAAACCAAGCAGCTTTCTGTTTTTCCAACATGCCAAATCTACGTGACCAACTTGAACCCTACGTGAAATCTGCATGGGTAAATCTTCTACCCACCTGAAATGCAAAATTCTACATCACATGGATTACTATTACTACTAAAAGACTGGATTTCCTCGGCAAAAATTCACTTAAACTGTAAATGTAACTCCACTTTTATGGCAGGGATTACCCAACCTTGTGGAGAGATAAGGCATTTAACTATGTGCTCAAAAAAAATGCATCTATTTTAATATCTAAGAACCAGATCACCAACCACTTTAACACGGCAATTGTGTGTTGTAATGTAACAAACAGGTTCTCTTTACAACAAAGTTCGGTTTCAAGTGTAACCAATACTGCACGGACTAAATCTTGCAGGGCACAACCACATTAGTAGTACAATGGCTTTAATAGAAGAGATTAATGACAGGCTCGCACTCACTATAACTGGCCCAAGCCAGTCAATAACAACTGGCAGCCCTGTTTAGCCCTAAAATGGGGCAGATGAGAAGTGATTTGGTACACCTATCAACTAAAATTAGATGAGGGGTGTAAAGAAATCTTACCCATCATACAAACCCATCATACCAACCATATACTGAGCTGTGGTAGTAGGGTGTAGATGTATCAAAACCATCATCATGATCTGCAAGCCAGCTCTGGCCAATAGCCATCAGAGATAGGCGGCTGCAGTAGCAATGAGAACAACACACAATTAATAGAAAGCATTGACTCGCTCCGCAACACTTCAATCATAAAAGGCCCCTGTGTGAACTGAGGTATAAAATGCCTTGATATTAACGGCTGTTTGTGCACCAGACATGAACAGGTGTGTAAGTATATGGGGTCACCTTTTTTCACTACAGACAGCCTTAGCCTTTAGCTTACCATCACCGCTCCGTCCGGAAACACACTGCTATGTCACACTGCCTAAACATTACAGAGATGCCATAGAGTGGCAACATTCATCAGAATGTGTGTTGGGCTAACGCACAGCCACACTCCGCTCTTCACCCACATGTGCTGCACCGTCACACTCACACAGATGCAACACACACACGGGGTAAAAAAACAGGAATATACTACGAACACAGGTATGATAGGGTTGACAAGCCATCATACAAGCACACGCACACACAAAATGGAGTTTTATAACATGACAGTTACACATTCTCAAACGTTTTTATATTTTTGATTGGAAGGCTAATTCTAAATTTGTGGTGACGCCGGCAGAAAAGAAAAAATCTAAATAGGTGGACCATGACCAATATCATTTGTTGCTTCAAATAAAAATAGTTCAGAAGACAATGAATGCCTTTTTACATTGCAGTAAAAGATAGTGTAGTATTTCCAAGTAATTTAAGGAGTTTAAAGAAGAAAAGAGATGTCTTGGTTACTCACAGTGCATGTCTCTCTCGTGTTCATATTCAATGAACGCATAGCCTCTTGGTTTTCCAGTTTTCTTGTTGTACACAATGTAGATCTAATAAAGGCATAAACATTCAAAGATGAGCCTGTGGGATAAAAAAAAAAAAGGAAAGTGGAGAAAAGTACATATTCAACACAACTTACCCGTTTGATAGGACCATAGACTTCAAACTCACGCCGTAGTTTGGACTCTGTGGTGTCATAATTCTGTATGAATAGAACACATAAGATTAACATTTTCAGGACAAGATCTCAAAATATTTTTATTCTTGTGTACAAGCCCATATATAAAACGAAAACACTCACAATTCGAGCAACAAACAAGGTCTTAAAAGCATCTCCTTGAGCATTAGTATCATTATGTGGGTCCCCTGTGGAGATACAAGAAACAATTGATAAGGTTTTATAATACAGTGCGTTTCAGTGTTTCACTTTAGTTCAGATACTTACATAGCTTCAGTTCTGTTTCCACCACAACTTGCCTCCTTTCCATCTTCTCTCTTCTCTGGAATTGAAATAATGGACCATATTACATACAAATATTAACAGATTATATATATATATATATATATATATATATATATATATATATATTCTCCCATGTTGTCATTTTCTAAAAATACGTGAACATTGTTCATAATTAAGAGTACTAAAAAGGTCTTCCACTGAAGCTTTTCAAAGATAACATTTTTGCCATCCTCAAGTCATAATAACCCAATTGAAACCCTTCTGAATGCAGGTCTGTGAATTTAAAAGCCATTCAGCATGAGTAAACAACTTCAGTGAAATTACCTCAGAAACTAAAAAGTTAAGACTTCCTCACCTTCCTCTCCAACCGCTCATCCCGCGTCTCTGCTCTTGTTGGCGGCGGAGCATCTCTGGGGTCCTAACCAACAGTGGGTAACAAAAAGAACATAAGATATTTTTTTCAGTATTTTGTGGCAATATATAAAGTAATTTCCTTCATGCATACAACCATCTGATTAGGAACACTTGATCTGTAATCTTTACTGGCAGTCAAAAAAATTAACAAAAATCTATTAAAAAAATATTTTATATAATATAGCGTTGCAAAAAAGCACCTCAAAATGCCGGATAAAAGGGGCAATTCCGCAGTAGGGCTGGTTGTGGTGTTTCTCGTGGGGAAGTTTCTCGAGCTGAGTCAGGAAAGGTATCGGGTCCCGCGGGGCAAACAATGCCAGCAGGTTCGGCGGAAGAAACTGAGTCATTGTTCACCTAGAACAGAGAAATTAAAAACGATTCAATTAAAATCGAGAACAACCCTTAACAGAAGCCCTGCATACTTTATCTAAGCAGTTAAGGTGGGTAAATGATTGAGGACTTAGGAGATTTCAGCTAACGTTACTAACTTAACTTACAGGATCGGGCGAAAACACAGCACGGACAAATAGACGTTGGTAAACTTTAACTGAAAATGTGGCGTCCAAGTATCTTTCAGTATCTGTATCAATAAGGAAACACCCCCTAAACGAGGTTTTAAAAGTTAGCAGCTAGCAGTAACAGCTAACGTTAGCTCGGCTAGCTTCGGGCAAATAAACATCCCTATATTTGCTTTACATAAATGCTTGAATAATCAGCTTCTTCATTATCAGATATGTAATATACAAATAAACAAACCGGAACGAATCACACAAATTAATGGTAGTGCGCGTTCTGTTACACGCGTGTAAAGCAAAGATCAATCCTGGTTAGGGTCAGCAGCTCTACTAATTCGACAGATGAGAGATCGCCAACATTTCCACGGGCGGCCTCCAATAGCGAATTACCTCAACTTCTCATTCGGTTCCGACGAAACCTCCGATTTTAGCCCAATAACCTCGGCGTGTTTCTGTGTGGAATCTTCGTGCATGAATTTCTTAAATCCCTTTAGTATTTTTCTGTATTTCGGCCCACACAATACCCAACGTGTTCTCTCACCAAGCTGAACAAGTCGTTCCTTTCTTAAAATGGCGCGAGGCCGTAAACCACTGTGGTATTTTACGACGCTTTTGCCCGTCTACTGGTACTTTACGACAGGGGTGTGGTTAAGTGTTGCAAAATAAATGCTCTGACTAGATTCAAAGAACTTATATTTTGGCTTCTATACTCTTTGCTAGATTCCAATGTCTTGCTTTTAAATGAAAGATTTTCTAATCTTCTTTAAACCTTTAAAATGTATGCATAAAAAGCCCTTAAATTGTGCAATCTTATGGAGTTGTATTATGTAATGTTCTTTTGTCTTCTATCTATCTATCTATCTATCTATCTATCTATCTATCTATCTATCTATCTATCTATCTATCTATCTATCTATCTATCTATCTATCTATTAGTAATGTTTAGCTGCTACTTGGATTTGTTGAATTTGTTTTGTAAAGGCATGTTTTGTATTTCATTCACGTAATAATATTTTTTTTATCTCAAACAAAAGGAAATCAAAAGAAATAATCTAATGTCTGCAACGAGGGCATAATATACCTATATCACATCAATATGTAATGATCACAATCAGTGGCGGCTCCTGCAAAATCTCTCAGGGGGGGGGGCAAATGTTTGGATGATTGATAAGGATAAGGTCCACCCATGCAATGGATAAATTAACAGCTTAAGCATGTAAAGGCAACTTCACTACTTTAAGATTGTGTCGCAGACCTGACAAAATAAATACATTTATTTTAGTTATAAAATAATTTATTTATTATAATATAAATATAGAGATACAAGGTTTCCATCCCGACAGCAACAATGTATCAGGCAGAATCCATATTGTATTATCTCCCATTAAAAAAAAAAAAAAAATTAATGCTATTGGTCACCCTTTACATCTGTCAATGTGTTTTACAAATATTTTACCAACGGAAAGCATTAAAAGATCTTGGAAATTATTTTGGGAAAAGTTATTTTATTATTTCCTGAAAAGTAACAGTTTTGGACATACACGATTGTGTGGGTGTTCGAATGGAAATGTACAAATTTCAAAGTACAATGCTAGGAGTAAAAAAGACTGCTACCATCCTTTCCTAAACTGATTGTAAAAACAAAGTGAGATTTTCCAACACTCGAGTATTAAAATGTTCAGCAATACCTCTTTAGACAGCCTCTGCTTGTCTTCTTCTCCCAAGGCCCTCCTAGATCTTGTTGTTCCTGTTGCTACTTGCTCCTGCTCAATGTATGCTGATTACTACGACGGGCTGACTGGTATTTATTTTAATGACACGATTATGACTGCGTTCGCCATGACGTTGTTCAAGTTCAGCTGGCCTCAACTCGCGAGTCGCGAGATGTCCCAACAGTCTCTCTCGCTCTCGCTCTCGCTCATTTTTAGGGCCCAAGCCTTGAAAAGGCGAAGGCCCTATTGTTTTCCTTAGGATTATTATTATTATTATTATTATTATTATTATTATTATTATTTTATCGACTATTCGGGCACTTTTGGGGCTCTTAACGTGCACGAAAACTCTTGAAACTTTGCACACTGGTCAGAACCCGCGGCCATCAGGGCCGGGCTGAAGCTGGTACCCGGGCGTGGCAGGGGGGCTCGACAGCGCCCCCTGGAACGGGGTCCGAGAACTTGGTCCATAAATCAAACACGCTTCCATGTAATAATATGAAACTCGGTACACATATAGATCTCATCGGTTCATATATCCTTTGTACTTTTACTTTTTACCCCAGCCCAACAGGAAGTCGGCTATTATGGTTTGTTTGGAAGCGTATGCCCCTGGAATTCGATATACTCCTCCTAGAGAATTCAACCAATCGCAAGGAAACTCGGTCAGCATGATGTCAAGACATTGAGGATGAAAAATTGCCAGGGGATTTTTCATATCTCGAACGGTTTGGCCGTGGCGAGGAAACGAATTTATGGCGAATAATGGAAACAGGAAGTGTGTTATAACTTCTGCATACATTAACTGATCTTGATGAAACTTCAGCAGTGTGTTCGCTGTAAGAGTCCGATCACATGGATGTGACTATTGTGAGTCAAAGTTATAGCGCCACCAACTGGCAGCAGGAAGTGTGTCACTTTCAAAATGCTTTGAAATCACCCTCTTATTTTAACCTGATTTGCTTCAAACTTCACTACTATAATGTAAACACACGGCAGATGTAGACCTGTGAATGGATTCTTGATATCTTAGATACTGTTGTCGTGGCAACGCATCAAACTTTAATATTCTTTTTTTATGCTTAGCATACTTGAAATTGCATGAAACTCGACAGACACATCTCATTTATTAGCCTGTAGACATGTGCAAAGTTTCAGAAACGGGCGTGTTGAGGGCTCAGTAGCGCCACCTTTTGTCAAAAGTGGGGGGATTAATTTTATCTACAGTAATAAAAATCGGTATGTGTATTCTTCTCCTCGAGCCAGACAACTTTCTAATTTACACTCAATAGCTCCAACCAACAGGAAGTCAGATATTTTGGTTTGAAAATTGTCATTTTATGTCTCTCTCTCTCTCTGAGCCTAACGTCTCTGTGTGTGTGTGTGTGTCTGTGAGTCTGGGGAGGGGGAGGGGGGCTAGATTAACCATTTGACTGCTGTGTGGTTTGGCCTGCATTTAAAAAAGAAAATAAATGTCTTACGCCTTGTATTTTTTAAATAAGTTGTATTAATAAGTAAAGGCATATAACCAGTTGAATTGTAGTGCATTGAACATAGTTTTATATAATTAGTTTATTAATTAAATTAACTTGGTCCATAAACTTCGTCAGAAAATTTGGTCCATAAATCAAACACACTTGCATGTAATATTATGCAACTCTGTACTCATATAGATCTCATCGGGCCAAACAACTTTAAGCCAGCCCAACAGGAAGTGGGCTATTTTGGTCTTAATGTGGATGTTTTGCAAAACCAGGCTCTACATTTTTACCCACTCCTCTTAAGTGGTTTATTTTATTCCCACCAAACTTTTTCAACATGATGAAAATACATTAAAGAAGCATAATTGTGAATATCTATTGAATATCTCTAATTGTTTTGCTATGGTGAGGGATTAAAGTCATGTAAAAAAAAAAAAAAAACACTTAAAGCCTCATATCTTCTAAAAATGTAATTATACACCATTTATTTCTAGATAAAATTATACAAATATCAGAACTAAACCCATTTTATTCTTGTTTTCAATTTAAGAATAATGTACAAGTTTAAAAACAGCCAGGATGCATTATTCAGTTAAAAAATAAATATATCAAATAATACATAGGGCTATACTGCCCTCTTGTGTTCAAAATCAGGTAGGCCTGTTGTATTTAAATATAGGTAGCTGCTATGTGACTCCGAGAATTTTTTCTCACCGGTTATTTGACGTGTAACACCGGGGGCTTTTATATCGCTAAGTTAAAAGTGAAAGTAAAGTAAGGACATTTATAGTGGTGGCGCTCGCAGTGCGCTCGAATGAATTTCTATGGAAGTAGAAATGAAAAAACGTTCGCTCTGTTTTGCTCGCTCGTCGCCATGGATGCGCACTGTAATGAATGCCACTGCAGCCGCATACTTTTTAGTGTCACTTTAAAATTAGTGCAATATCGGGGGCCAATTGCTTGAATTGTGAGTTCAATAGTCTATTATTTTTCACGGAAAACACAACAACAAAAGAGTACAATGACAGATTCGCTTAAATAGGCGCTTTTACATAAAATAGCCTATTCCGTCATCATCTTTTCAGTCAGCTCTTCACTCTCGTGATTAATGAAATTTGACTCCTATTGCTGATATTTGCTGCAACTTTCGTTCTGCTCACAATTTAGTAAGCAAACACGTTTCAAATGTGTTTTTATTTTATTTTTGCGTATATATATGTGTGTGTATAATATATATATGAATATAGGCCCTATATACATATATATATATATATATATATATATATATATATATATATATAGCTTATGTTTCAAATATGAGTTAATTAACAATCGTTTGAAAGAATGATACTTTTAAACATATCACTAAACCGTCATTAGGTGTCGCCAGGCGACCGTCTTAATGAGCGAGTCATTGATTCATTTGTTCGAACGATTCGTTCGAACGGCTGAGTCATTCATGAATCAGACAGATTATGGATTGGTCATTGAATCTTTCAGTCAACCGATTCGTTCAAAATGCTGAATCATTCAGTAATGAGAAAACACGTTGCTGTGAGATGCGCAATGGTTCTGCTGCGATCTTTGTTTAACTAGTTTCACTGCTGAAACAGAAAAAAGTCAATATTGCATATAAAATGTAAGTGATTTGACGTGTGTGAGAGAGAGATTGTGTCTGTTACAGTGACAAGAGTTTAACCCTTTAAGGCCTTGTCTTTTTGGATATATATCTCTTTTTTTATTACAAAATGTGCATACAACCCATATATTGTAAATGTATTGTTTGCTTTAAATTAAATTAAGATTGTATGTTTGGTAATTGAACCTAAATAAATTTAAAATTAGGAAGTCGGCTATTATGGGTTTAGGAAGGCCGATCAGATGGATGTAACTATTGTGAGTCAAAGTTATAGCGCCACCAACTGGCAGCAAGAAGTGTGTCACTTTCTAAATGCTTTTGACAAAAGTGGGGGGGTTAGTTTTATCTACAGTAACAAAACTCGATATGCATATTGTACTCTTCGAGCCGGACAACTTTCTTATTTACCGTAATTAGCTCAGATTAAGAGGAAGTCAGATATTTTGGTTTGAATATGGTGAGCCTCTCTCTGTCTCTCTCTGAGCTAATATGGCAAGCCGTTTTAACATTTAATCATTTTAACCTACTAGTCTCTATTTTCATGCTACTAGTACTTATTTTTTAGATACTAGTATCTATTCCATTAAGTACTAGTACTTATTCATTAGCGACTAGTGCTTATTCTGTTTAGAATATTCAAAGTGCTTATTCAATTTTTATGCTTATTTATATTTTCAGAGCAGAAAATCCGATTTTTCTGCTTATTCAATATTGCATCTAAAATGTAAGTGACTTGACGTGTGTGTGTGTGTGTGAGAGAGAGAGAGAGATTGTGTCTGTTACAGTGACAAGAGTTTAACCCTTTAAGGCCTTGTCTTTTTGGATATATATCTTTTTTTTATAAAAAAAGTGCATACAACCAATATATTTTAAATGTATTGTTTGCTTTAAATTAAATTAAGATTGTATGTTTGGTAATTGAACCTAAATAAATTTAAAATTAATGTTCTATATTTCAGATCAATATATTTGTTTTCCTTCATTTTAATCAACACTAACTTTATTCTCATCTGAATTATAAATAACTTATTTCTGTATAAAATAAAAAATCCCGAATAATCCAGACCAACCAGAGCGCACTATTTCTACAACATCATCAGTGCTGAAGCGGAACTACCAGAGCCGTTTGGCAGATAGCGAGCAGATATTTTGTGTCACGTCGTGCACAATAACCCTAAAGGCACCAGGGTGGCGGTGCCACCGGCTTTTTATATATATATATATATATATATATATATATATATATATATATATATATATATATATAAATATAGCTGCGAGCAGCGATGAAGGGCCAAAGCCGGCGGCACCGCCACCCCGGTGCCTTTAGGTAACTAAAGGCACCGGGGTTGCGGTGCCACCGGCTTGGGCCCGTAATCGCTGCTCGCAGCTATATTTATATTTATTTTTATTTTTTTAATCACATTTGATAAATATATTATATAGTAGTGTTTCATTTTTTCTTGTTATTCAAATTCAAAATTGTTTTTAAATATTATTTGTCACTTAATCTTAAAGATATTTAATAGTGTAGGCTCCCACCAATCGCTGCACAAGTTAAGGGTACGTATGATGACGTAAGCATGTTAGTGCGAGCCCTCCCGGAACCCATAGAGAATGCATTGCAGTGCCTCCAGTTCGAAAAAAAAACATCTTTGAATGGAAGTCTATGGGAACACTCGGGGCGATTCTCAGCCAGAGTGAAATCGCCCAAAAAGAGGCGGTACTCCACAGAACGCGACATGACGCTGATTGGAGTATAGCACTATAGTGACGGCTAGCGTAACTCTGTGGTTGAATGAGATTGTGAATGTGATTGAAAAAGTCACTTTCGCACTTTGGTGGTGCGTCGCCCAATCGCCCTAATGAAGAAACCGCCCCTGATCACAATAATATCCAATAATATATCCATTCAAGATATCTCTGACAGTTAGTCTAATAATAGACTTAATAACAATAAAATATGAACATTATTGATTAAAATGTGAATATATATTTATGTGTGAAATGTTAATAACAGCAACAGTAAGACCATTCAGTACAATACAAATATACACCATTGCACTGTATTATTCATCCCATTCCCAAACACAAGAGGCACTATAACTGAAGTTCTTCATATTATTCTGTGGTTTATGTAGTTAAAGATGGCGGAGTCAGAAGAGTCTAAAACAATATGCAAGTTTCTTTTTAAGAAATCAAACAAGAAATTTTCTGCACGGAAAAGAAATGCAAGTGATAGCGATAAAGGTATTTTGTGCTGATTTCCCCCTCAGTGCTCGGTAATGCATACATTGATTGATCAGTTTTCCATAATACAGTAACGTTAAGCTGTCTGTTCAGTCAATGTTTATGCCCAATGTAATTCTGATTACAACCAAGTAACTGATGTATTAAATCATTTTTTGTGTGTTCATCAGACAGAAGTAGCGGCGAGGAGAGCAGTGCTGTGGTCAGAAAGAAGAAAGCTGCTATTACTAACCCCATGATTCAGAAAGTATGTCGGTATTTTAAATGTTTAATGAAATCTGCTGCTGAAGCTGCTGTTTACTCTGAAGCCATAACCGCAAGTTAAATACTGCTCATCCCACCTTATAGACAAAGAAAGTGGAGAGGGAAGCAGTCTCATCAAGTGAAAGTGAAGAGGAGAAAGGAGACAAGAGTGTCACTGTCGCGTACAAGTCCACTCGGTCAGCGGTGAGTCTGTCAGATATTTACATCTGGGGCTTTCTTATGATTTATAGCAAACCATTAAGAATGCAAATTATTCATTTGATTCCATTCCAAACATTTGATTCTTGTAATTCAGTGTGTGTGTGTGTGTGTGTGTGTGTGTTTGTGTTGCAGAAACCAGAGGGACCAGATGACATGGGGGCCACTGCTGTTTATGAGTTGGACACAGAGAGGGACAAAGATGCTCAGGCCATCTTTGAGCGCAGCCAGAAGATTCAAGAGGTACGGGGGTATTATATATATATATATATATATATATATATATATATATATATATATATATATTCATACAAAAAACAAAGAGGTATGGTTTGATATCTAATAACTGATTATTTGTACAGCTATTTTTACATTACAGATTTCTTCAAAGCAGGTTTACAGCAGTAAATAGAAAAACAGCATCTGCATTGCAAAATTGTCATATGAGAATTCATTAATTTCAGTCGTTATTATTACACCTATTTCAGCTCTACAGAAGAATCAAATCATTTCAGTTTTTTCGTGACCTTGTTCAAAAATTTTGAACACAGCAGAATTGATACATTTTACTGAACAGTAATTGTCTAATTATATAATTGAATAAATATATTATAAAAAATATATATATTGGCCTATAACAACAAGTTGAAACAATCTCTCAACCCCCCCCCCCCCAAAAAGGTCATCATCTACTCGCCCTCATATTGTTTCAAAACGTTATTGTATTGAACACAAAAGGAGATGTAAGGCAGGATGTTAATGTTTCTGTAAAACGGAAATGAACATAAAAAGACAAAGTGATCAATAAAAGTATATATTATAAATATACACAACTTGTGTGTTATGTTTTAAGTCCTCAAAAATGATACAGTAGCTTTGTGTGAGGAACAAAAAGTCATTATGCACAGAAATTCAGCTCTCGAATCTCATTTGTGTGATGTAAATATGTGCATATTCAAACAATGGCATAATTGGGTGAAGTTCAGCATGTCACCAGTGTAGTTTGTCGTTTCACAGAAAGAATGAGTTATGACATTTTAATATTAAAATGTTAACATTAAAAATAATGAGGTAAAAAAAATTGGTAACACTTTATAATAAGGTTCATTAGTTAACTACATTAGTTAACATTAACTAATAATGAACTGCACTTATACAGCATTAGTTAATCTTTGTTAATTTCAACATTTACTAAACTAATACTTTATTAAAATCTTGTTAACATTAGTTAATGCACTGTGAATGAACATGAATGAACAGCTGTATTTTTATTAACTAACGTTAACAAAGATTAACAAAAACAGTAACAAATGTTTTGCTCATGGTTAGTTCATGTTAGTTAATACATTAACTAATGTTTAATAACTTAACCTTATTGTAAATTGTTACCAAAATATTAAACACATTCATGGGTGAATCATTCACAGTAAGATCATTAAGATGCTTTTGGAAAATAGACGTTGAATTTCCATTTCATACCGACTTTAAGGATACTTGATTATTGATATTGTTTGGGTGGGCACAATCTCCTAATTCAGTGGCATGTCTGTATTTTATTTATAGGAGTTGACTGGTAAAGATGACGATAAGATTTATCGTGGCATCAACAACTACCATAAATTCATCAAACCCAAAGATTCCACCATGGGCAACGCCTCCTCTGGTATGGTCAGGTGAGTCAGTAGAAATGCTGGTCAAACAAGCAGCTGGTCCTGTTTGCTGTGACTAAATATGCTGACACACAACTTTTAACTGATCCACAATGTCTTGTATGTGATAGGAAAGGGCCAATCAGAGCCCCTGAGCACCTCAGGGCCACAGTCCGGTGGGATTACCAGCCTGACATTTGTAAAGACTATAAAGAGACGGGCTTCTGTGGGTTTGGAGGTTAGTAAGCCGGTTTCCTCTCTGTTTTTGCCTTTCTTTTCTTTTTTTTCTTTTTTTTGTTCAAAGTTTGTTTTTATTGATTTTTACAATATACATCACATTCACAATCCCCCACCCCTCACCATCCAATTTAAGAATGACGCCCATACTATCCATTAATTCAAAATGGAATTGTAAGAACCAAGCATGCATACAATATTTACAAACATGCTAACAAACATAAACGTTTTTGCCTTTCTTTTGAGGTTCATGTTAACACTCATGATGACAAATGTCATTGCAGGAACAAACATGTCTTCTTTTATCCTCAGACAGCTGTAAGTTTCTGCATGACCGCTCAGACTACAAGCACGGCTGGCAGATTGAGCGAGAGCTCGAAGAAGGAAGATATGGGGCAAACGGTGAGCCACCTTTAGGTACAGGTCTTTGAAAACATTTTGCTTCTTTTGTTCTGCTTTCTGACGTATTGTTTATCTCGCAGACGATGAGAACTATGAAGTGAGCAGCGACGAGGAAGATCTTCCTTTCAAGTGTTTCATTTGTAGGGAGTCATTTAAGAACCCCATTATTACAAAGTAAGTGCTACATCGAGCCATGGCCAGTTTGAATTGCAAATGCTGTTCTTACCACGGCACAAATCCACAATATGGTGCTTTAGCCTGAGAACATTTGACATTGTGTTTGCATGTTGTGGCCACAATTTCTTTGTTTTCCAGGTGCCGGCACTACTTCTGTGAGGCCTGTGCTCTCCAGCACTACCGCAAGTCTAAGCGCTGTTATGTTTGTAACCAGCAGACCAATGGCGTCTTCAACCCGGCCAAAGGTGCTTATCTTTTCCATTAATCACAAATGACTAGACAAGGTTTGGTCAATTGGTCATTAACTCTTGGAGCCCTGATAAATTCACTCACTAATGTCATATATAATATGAAATGGAGAGTAAGGAACTAATTTATTGGTGTATTTTTCCTCAGAGCTCATGGCTAAGATGCAGAAACAGCAGGCAGCTGCTGACCAGCCTCCCTCTGATGAGGATGACTAGCACCACACAGCCTCCCCTTCTGTTTTCTACTTTAATCATTCAGATTCCAGCTGCGTTGTAAATTTTCAGAACCTTTGAAATAAACATGCACTCTTTTGTAGAACACTTTTTTTTATGATTCTCAGAAATCTCCCAGGATGAGAACTCGACAATCTGTACGTCATTCACTAGAGACGCACAACATTATTGGCCAATATTTCACACCAAGTTATAATAATTGTTCTTATTCTATGAGAGTAGTGAAGTCCACACCACAGCTATAATGGTAATGACGCAGAGGAGCAATATCATTGTAATTACTTTCAGAACAATTGTTTTCCAGCTGATTAAGGATAAAAACATTCAAAAGCCAATCAGAATCCACCCTACTTTAAAGGGCTTGCGAATTCAATGTGGCAGATGACATATCAATCGTCGGTGTGGACGCCCATATAGTAAACGTTATAGTTTTCTATCTTTCTTGTTGTGAAGAGGACTTTAGAATGAGGGTTTACCCTATTTTTACATTCGGGTTAAGTGAGTGTTCTTCGATGATGACAAAGGTAAAGTCAAGTCAAGTCACCTTTATTTATATAGCGCTTTTTACAATACAGATTGTATCAAAGCGCTTCACAGTGATAACATGAAAACAATATAACAAAGTTTGTTTCTAAAATAAAGTTAATTTTTACTACTAAAAAACTAATCTCAAAAAGAATATACATTTTTCATCCTGTACATTTTAATTTAGCCTAATGCTGATGACTGATTTATTTTTAGTTTTAATATATTCTGGCAAAATAGTATACAATTTTAATATCCGCCATTTATTCGTTGTCGGTCAAAACATGAAAATAATTATAAGCTTATCTGTAAAATTGAATGTCAGTGAAAGTATTTAGTATATTTATTTAGTCAGTGAAAGTATATAGAAAAAATTTTATGGAATACATATTTTCAACATTAAATGTACAGAGAAGTACAGACTAAGGATGCTCAGGTCAAAGACCATATACACTGACGGTTACCCATGTTAGGGGTAAACAGTTAAAGACCCAGAACCAGATATGATGAATGAAGACCTGGAGTCAGAATTATGATAAATTAAAGAAAAGTTTTACTGAAGATAGTTTGCAGTTTCATCAGCAGAAGTCAGCTTCAAGACTCCCACTGGAGTTCGTAGGCCGCCCCACTTACAGTTACAAAGATCACATCAGTTATACCCTTCACCAAGGTCTAAGCTACGTCCTTGCTTCAGGTTGCAGTTTCTGATTGGCTAAGAACACATATAGTCTAAGCAAATTTCCACACATGGATAGATAGGAGAGTATGTAACCATTAGTCAAGATAATTGTCACACGATTCCTAGATTTAGGTCTGCGGTGACCTCGGAGGTCGGAGAAAGGCGTCTTCGGGTCTGTTGTTGCATGCCTAAGTGTCCCATAGCTCCTATACAAGACCTGCAGAACATCCAACGCACACACAAAAGCACTAGGGAATCGCAGTTTCTCCAAGGTCGAAGAGGGCCTGAGCTAACAATCATCAGGAAAAACTACCAAAACATACTGATAATACATTCCCTTCTCAGGAAGAAGTACAGATACTATTCACTTTAGTTTCTAGAGAAATACACACGAAAGAGGTACAATTCTGTAAATCAGGTGAAGTCACGTATAGTTGGACCCCTGTAACCTTAACTCGCCAGCTAGAAACAGATATATAGACAACACATGTTGAGGGTCACATCAGAATGTACCTAAAAGCAGCTGGTTAACACTCACAGCAAACATGATTAAAAGTATATTTGAATCACTCATTGAATATAGAAATGATTTATGTAGAAATGCTTGATTATTAATCACTCATTACATACATTGAAGCAGCAGTGGATCCCAATCCACCCCCTTCAGTCGCCCGTTTTAGACCAATACCACCACATCTGGTCTTTTCATAAAGGCTGCTTCAAAATGTAATATTTCTGACCCATGCTCCTCTGTCAGGTTAAAATTTTGATAAAACAGATAATATATTTTTCCTTCAAGGACTTAATATAAAAAAAAATATCCCACATTGTACATTATTAATTTCCAGAACGTTTGGATCTTTACATGTCTTACACAGCTGTTATTCATCTTGGCTAATTTGGTATTATCATCGACTTAACTGATCACAAAACAAGTTCATATTTATTCTCTGGAAGCCAGGCTAAATAAGCAAGCACTGTTGCTGTATTCCTAGCATGGGCTAGACCAACAGTCACTACACAGATATTAAATACAGACATTGCCTGTAATCATAAATACCAGGATATATAGGCCAACACTAGTTTTTATAAAACTATGATTTCCAATTCCTTTTATAATAACGTTACCCCCTTTATAGACCCTTTAGTTTCAAAACAATTGCAGATGAAACTATTTTTAGGTCTAAACTTAAAACCCACCTGTTTAAAATGGCTTTTAAATACGCAGTAGTGGTGTGACAATTTCCTTTTTCTTGTTTCTTTTCAACTTTTCTTTTCTTTTTTGATTTTACTGTTTTTATTGTATGTTATGTTGTTTTATTTATTTTATGATGTGAAGCACTTTGGATACCTGACGGTTGTTGTAAAGCGCTATAGAAATAAATGTTGATTGTTGATTGAAAACACAATGGTTGTCTAACTAAAGATAAACAACAAAAAATAAGTAAGACCCACAATAATCCACTTTAAGTCCCTCAATGAATTCATCCTTCAGTTTACAGTCACATAGCATGTACCATCTTAATTGTATAACATCTTATACCTTTTTTTTCCCTCTTTTCAAAAATAGAAATAAAATAAAACAAATTCATTCTTCATTTTATTATAAATCAATCATTATTTTACCACTAAAATATAGAATTGTTTCCCATTCTGCTTAAAACTTTTGTTCATTCCTTATCTTCATATCAGTTAATCCCTGTTAATCATACTCAATGCCTTCTTTTTATCCGAAACTCACTTTTCATACCATTTCAACTTAATTTGGCTTAACAGGCGTTCATAAATAGTTCCATAAATTCTATCAGAAATTCTATTTTCATAACATACATTTATCTACTATATTTCTTCTCATCTTTCCCTATTTCCCTACATGCCAGTTCCTTCTGCATCCTTTCCCTTTCTTTTCGCTCTGCCTCATCTAACCAGTACATGATTGTTTGCTTACAATCCACACACACGTCTCACACAACAACCTTTTTGTTTTTCACTTCCCTCTTGTCTCTCACCCCTGTCAGCCTAGTGACACTTAAAGTTCCCTCTTTAGGGAACTCATGGTATTTTATTAATTTTTCAATACTCTTGTTTTCATAACATTCATTTTAACTGTATTTTTCATTATAACTACTTCTCACAGTATTCCTCTATAAAATGGTTAGTCTGAAGATTCAAAAAATATTATCAGTATTGTCTCAGTCCCACTTATCTTTACTGTTTTGCAGAAACCAAAATATTATGTTACTCGATCTCAACCCTTAAGACAGCCATATAGCTGCGTTCTCCTTTAACCTTTATTACCTAAATTGTAGTTTTCTTAGACATCTAAGGTCATACATCATTTAATGGATTGAGAAATAAATTATTTTTAGAAGTTATATTCACTCCTTTGTTCGCCCCCGACCTTTCCTAAAAATGAGGGAATTCTCTCTGGATAATTTGGATAGTGACTTAGCCAATGTGTCACTTTGTCTCTCTGCCGTCAGTCTATAATTTTTACGTTTACCATTATGATCCCACCTAGTTGTCTATTTAAATTTAGACCCTCAGTTGAATTTAGGCAAGAGTTTTTACCCCATAATGGACGGCAATCTTCAACTTCACAATTCTAATTGACATAAATACTAATCCAGAGAATAATTCAGATCAACATCATAAATGACAAAAGTAGTCATAATTACCAATAGCAGACAGAGCTGGAAAACCAATCCAATTAAAGCTCATCCCATGTTCTGCATTGTCTTTTCATCAGATTGACTCAGAATTATCAGCTTCTTTAAAGTTTGTTGTTTCACCTAACCCACCTGTAATGATAAAACACTCATTCCAGAGGTTAATGACACACTATTCACAAAATCAGGAAATAATAGTACCACAAACTAACGCATACAAGACATAAAGTGCTGTCACCATCACACGCACTCATACTAGACACACATATGTTAACTGCTCATTTTCAATGTTCGCTTTTTGATATTAACTCTAAAAATATTTACTTCACAGTTTTACCTAATTTTACATAGTCTCTTAACCAGTTTCAAAGCATGTCTGTTCATTATTCCTTTGGTTTTAGAAAAGTCAGCTGGGTTGTTTTGGTTCATTATCATTATTTTGTTTAAGTTAATTTTTGTCATCCCTTCCTCCACTCAAGCAGTCTCTCTCACTATAAACAAATTATCTTTTCAACAGCCTCCTAAGACTGTAACTAAATTAATCATATTCTAGTACCCTTAATAGTTCACAAATGTTAAAATACAAATGTTTAACTCAAATTAGAACCATTACAAGAATCTAAAATACATTATGCTATGAGCATTTCTAAGGTTATCTATAGTTTAAATACCCAATTCACCTAACCTTTGTTATCCAGAAACTTCTCTTGAATCAACACAGCGGTCTTCATCTTTAGCCACCACCATGTCTAACGACCTTCAGGAGTTAAAACTATGGAATAGACATATTAGTTCAAAATCAACACTTCTATACATTTTTTTTTCTTGCCCATAAGGCAACCAGATTCTTGTAACCAGGCAGATTAGCTTAGACCATTACAAACCAATCACCAGAACAAATCACAGTGAAGATTTAAGTGACATTGATTTTTACTCAACTGTATGATTTAAATGTACATGTATCTTCCTATTCAAGACTCACTTGGTCGTTTCACTGGCCAGTGTTCTCCCGGCCGTGAATAAAACTTCATTTCTGCAAAGAGCAACTTGGGAGTGGTGTCAGGTATATGCTGCGCAGCTGAGAAATAGATTATACACTCAAAAGACAAAAACAGAAACATCTATGTGTGATTGAGCTGAGGAATAGAAGTACTAAAGATTCTACGCTCAAAAGACCACCGCAGAGACAGTGATAGTGTTGGAAGATTATAGAGCCACCCACGGGGAGAGGCTGTAATACTCCGAGTTAGTATTACTGATGCTGTGTCGGACCAGCGTACACCTGAGAAGGACGTGAGAGTGTATAGATGCTAAGACCTGTGTGCTCATGTGTGATTGAGGTAGTGATAGTAGCTTCTTGACGGGACGCCGTCACCATACTTCAGGGAAGTATTGTATTGTATTGTAAGTATTCAGGGAATTAACTTGAGATATTGTAGTTATTATTACTAACAACTGGAAGTTGTTTAAATTGTCCGTGGTGAAGAAGTCAGATTTAGTAGGTTGTATTCGTATTAAGAACTTCCACGACAATCCCTATTATAAACTGCATAGTATGTAGTGAAATCTCGATTGCAGATGCTGTTTATCAAAACAAGTTGTAATGTAATGAACAACATTCTAAATATAAAAAAAATTCTATAACAGCAAACATCATCAATGGCAACATTTATTCCATTTGACCAAGATGTAAATATGCTGGAAAAAAATACACAGACGGTCCATTGAAGTACTTCCTTCTGTAACGCATGCCAAGAACAGAAATTAATCTTAGCAAAAATACAACAGAATTAATATTTTTAAACTAACAACTGCACCAGATAGCAGGCAAAAAAAGTAATCTAGCTTTTTTTTTTTTTTTTTGTGGCGTCACTATTGAGCACCATTCCCACAATCCATCCATAAATTGGACAGTCGAGTTTGACTTTACTGACAGCTCTTTATGCTTCACTGGACAAATATGCTAGGATACATGGTAATACAATTGTGAACTGGTGTTGCTGTAAGCTGGTAGACATTCATAGAGTGTCATTAGTTCAGCTGAAACGCATAGAACACATTTCAGTAGCCTGAAGTGATCACCATTGTCACATGGCCAGTCTGTAAGAGTAACTAAAATGTAGGCGAGGGTGCGCAGTGCATGCCTCAGGCTTCAGTTCATGCTTCTGGATGCATTAGCAAGGCTAAGTGGCTGCTGGCTTTTCATTTCTCTTCTTATAGTCTCTTATGTTTCAGTGACATACACAAATCACAAAGACAACCAAGAAACATTCCAGAGTCTCTTGTAGCTTATTTAAAGCTCTTTGTACTGTCTATATCATGCTCGCATAGCACAGGCCTTCCCTTTTTCTCACTTAAAACTAAAAAGAAAAAAGACACAAAACAAAATCCACATTTCTCAATTTCTCATTAAGAGTCCTATGGTAAATCACCCCTTTCCATCCAATCCATCGTCCCTCCACCTCTCATCCGTTTTTAATGTCAAAAGTCCCAGTCATCCACATCCAGCTTGCTGAGATCAGACTCCAGATTGGCTAGTCCAGTGGGCGAATCCTGAGGCTGCATGCAGTCTAGGCTGCTGATTGGAGAAACTGGACGCAGGAGCTCAGGAAGAGCCTCGGATGGTCTGCGCTTTATCTGAAACGTTACATTGACCACAATGAAACATTGAGGAGAGTAAGTGTACAACCACTTTCTGTTTAAATTTGTACAAATATGTCAGGTGTTTGCTCAGAAAAGGGTAAAACTTACTTGTTTGAAGAAGGAATGGCCTATCAGGGAGCTGGCAGAAGGTCTGTTGAAGACATAACATCAATTTCAATCTATTCATTGCACCACAAAAGTATAACCTACTTGGTAACACTTTACAAAAAGGTTTCATTTGTTAACATAAGTTAAATAAACAATGAACAATACTTCTACAACATTTATTAATCTTGGTTAAAGTTCATTTTTACATTTACTAATACATTTTTCAAATCAAAAGTTTGGTTACCCATATTCTTCAAAATATCTTCTTTTGTGCAAAGCAGAAAAAATCATTTAATACAGATTTGGAACGACATGATGGCTAGTAAATGACAGAATTTAAATTTTTGAACATTAGTCTCCTCAGAGAATGTTAATCTTTAACATTAGTTAATGCAACTGTCTAATGCAACCCCCTCACCCAGGTCCGCTCTGTGCGGACAACGAACCTGGGTCTCTTGAGATCAGGCAAGTGAGGTTTACTCGCACAGCGACTACTAGCTGCCCTCCGTTACACAACCAAACAATGAACAAATGTATATATTTATTGACTAACATTAACAAAGATGCTATAAAAACATATATTGCTCATAGTTGCTAAGAAATTAGACCTTTTGTAAAGTAAAGACAAACTTTTTACAGTTTATCAATTTGGAGCTCAACATCCTGGATCCCCGTTCACTTTCATTACAAGGAAAAGAGTGTTAAGTCCATTCCTGAAAATTTCTCTTTTTCTGTTCCACAGTAAAAGGTTTGGAACGATATGATGGTGAGTAAATCATGAAAGAATTTTGAATTAGTCCTTTAAAAATAAATGAAGCACTCGAGTGTTATATTGACCTTTTCTCAGGATCTCTCTGCAGACAAAGTTCCACAAAGGCATGAAAGTGAGGACTGAAGGTCCGGCTGTATGGGTTTCCCGCGGAGGAGGATGAGGGCTCTCCGTTTGTGTGTCGAGCACCACCGGCACTGGGGCCCTCGCAGATCCCAGAGTCGGCCCCTGAGCGAGACGGTTTCATGCTCAGTTCTTCAGGGGGGATGGTGGTAGTGTCCAGCAGGCAGGGGACTGTACCATTCAACTTCTCTAACAACATCTGACAACAGGCAAAGAGACAGTTTATGAAGCTAAATGTAAGTTAAAAAGGAGGGAAAGCAAAAAATGAATCGATAAAAAGCAAGTGTTTGCCTTACCTGCGTAGCAGGCATGTCTTTAAAAGGCACGTGACCATTAGCTAGCTCACATGCAGTGATGCCCAAGCTGTATATGTCTGAGCGGAAGTCATATCCCTGAAGATTCTGTCATATGCACAGATTAATACAGAATTAATAAAAATGTAATTTGCTAATTTCTGATGTATTATAAGTACAGTATACATACTGATCAAAAGTTTGGGGCCAGTAAGATTTTTTAATGTTTTGAAAGAAGTCTCTTATGCTTACCTGCATTTATTTGATCAATAATACAGTAAAGTAATTGTGTGTTTTAGTGCATTCTAATGAGTCTTTGAATAGACAGTTAAAAAGATAGCATTTATTAGAAATAGAAATATTTTCTAACAATGTAAATGTCTTTACGGTCCCTTTTAATCAATTTAATGTATGCTTGCTGAATAAAACTATTAATTTCTTTTAAAAAAAAATATATATATATATATATAATTTATTTCTTATTACTAGGGGTGTAATGATATACCCTCATGTCATGATTCGATACATATAACGATACTGAACTCACAATACCATATTATTCTCGCACTCCGCTGCTCTGTTCCGTCACTGGCAGGTGAATGTGAAAGTGTGTGTGTAATGATTGGGTCATGTGTAAATGTGTGGATGTTATGGGAAGCATCTGTATACAGGGGGATGTATGACTGCTGCAGTACTTATGTATTGTTTATTGTTTTTTTACCATTATATAATATACATTGTGTGCTAATGCACTTTTTAAACTTTAACCCTTAATGGATGGGTTGGCTGTAAAACTGAATTGCCCCCTTGGGGACTAATAATCTGAATCTATTGCGATCGATACTCCAAGACATATGGCGAAAGGTTAAGAAAAAATGTATTGTTGATTAAAATGGAAAATTTGGTATTACATTGCGGGTGGAAAATGAATAGGCTTGGACTTGGTGCTGGAAACCAAATGCACAGAACAATGGTGACACCAGAATAAAAATATTCATGATTCTGAAGCTGAAAATACAGAATTATTTTAGACGAATATGCTTCCACTCTGTCACTGACTACATATATTTAAAATAATGTGGGGCACTTTTTACTGGTAACAGAAGAAATTTGGCATTATCAGGACCCACAAATATTCCCCCATTGCATTATTATACATTATATATAGTTTAATGTAGTACTGACACTAAAACTCTATAACCTTAATTTTTTCCTCACAGTCATTTTCATTTTGGGTGAAATATACACAATACAGATTGTCACTAGTATCCACGATACATATTGCTGCATTTTTGTATTGCGATATATTGTGGCACGATATATTGTTACACCCCTAATTATTACAGACCCCAAATTTTAGATTTTTTTGGTACAGTATATCAAACGTACCTGCTGCAGAACCTCTGGGCTGAGCCATGGTAGTACTTTAATACTGTACTGGGGGAAATCGTGTACAACACGCGCTCTCTGACCGTGACGGATCAAGCTGAAGATACTCCTAAGACCGGACAGATACACCTGCCCATCTGCTGCAATCAGAACGTGGCTTGCCTTCACACTCCTACAGACATAGATTAAGATGATTGAAAAGTATTCTTGTAGCACCTACATTACATTAAACTTACATTACTACATACAACATGAGACCAACAGTCTGGAGTGGGTAGTTGATATATTAACCTGTTTGACTAATAACAATAATAAATAATCATGAGTGTACATGCGTTCCTCACCGGTGAACGTAGCCCATCTGATGTATGTACTCCAGCGCTCTCAGCACACCCAGCAGGATGTAGGCAATTGTCTGCTCACTCAGACCATCAGCAAAATGTGTACTGATCAAGTCACGCGCTGATCCTGATAGAGAAAAGAAACACAAAAGAAACATTTTCAACTGGTACTATGAGCACATCTCAGACTTGATATAGTTGATGCAGAATGTCTCAGCTAACCGTAGGCCATGAAGGGTGTGATCACCCACAGTTCATTCTCAGCAATGAAGACGCTTTTGTATGGGAGAATACAGGGGTGGTGGAACAGCTTAGAGACATGGAGTTCTCCCTTTGGAAAAACAAACAGAAAGTGGTTGCAATGCTTATGTTTACTGTTTATACTAGCAATGTGCATGACTAATTGACTAGTTAAGTATTTGTTCCACACCAACTAGTCGCCTAATAAAAACACTACTCAAACATTGCAAAAGGATTTTTGAAATACAAATTGAAATAAATGTTCTTACTGAATCAGTGTTGTTAACTAAAACTATTAAATAACATATAAGATAAACTGAATCTGTATCTAAACTGAAAAATCTAAATGTCATTATTAATGTACATTGCTCATTTTTTCAAAAGACATAAGTTGTTAAAAATAGCTTATTTTGAAACTGTTATCAGTGATGTGAGGTTTGTGAATACAACAAAATATTCATTTCAGTTATTTTGCTACATTCATTAAAAATAAATATAAAATGACTCAAGTTGTCCATCTCTAGTATATTCTGAGAGAAGCCCTGCTGTCACTTTCTACTGACCTGTAAGTAATTGACCATGTCATTAGTACAGGAATCCAGGTCAATACGCCGAATGGCCACAAGTTCCCCTGTGGGTTTGTACCTGGCCAGATTCACTGTCATCAAGTCCTCCAAACCGCGACCTACACAAGCACAGACAAACACACACACACACACACACACACACCAGCAGTAGGAATCACAGAAATCCTCACAGAGATGTCTCTACTAGTGCTGTGCAGTCTTGGCCTCACCTATGACAGTGCGCAGCTCATAGGCGTTGTTATCTGGAAGAAAGCTTCCCATGGTGTCCCTGCGTGGGAGAGGGCTCAGAGACTCTCGACTGTCTTCATGGGCCTGAGTCAATGAAAAGGGTCATTAGTTAAATGAGGCAACACAGTGTGGCCCACAAAAGTATTTACAACCTCTACAGTTATGCCACTGGGGGCGGGACCAAATAAACAAAGTGCTGCAAACTGAATATGGCTGTGTCTCGATCACCTTCCTGATGTCAGACAGATTATTGTGAACATAAACTCAGGCATTAGAATGGGCCTTGATCCACTAAATATTGAGAAACTAGGGAGCGGATTGAGACACACGTCAGATCCCAGTTCACCATTGCATAGCCCATTCAACATAATCAAATCCTTTTAACACTTGAATTATTAGATTGTGAACCCTGTGATTTTACTGGAGGTGTATTCGTGAAAGTGGTTTGTGGGAATGCAGTCATACAGTGACCCAATAAAGTATTTCAACATTTAATTCACACTTATGAATGAATGTCATTGCATTAGATGGTCAAATATCAAATCAAATAGCATCGATTTTAAAGAAATGTTCTTGTTCTCTTTTCCAAGCAAGACATTTCACACAAAAAAAGCGTGTTAGGTTTTAAAAGATAAAACCATAGAACTACTGTACAAAATTAAGAAACCACAGTCTGACACTTTCTGGTGGTAAACAGTGAAATCTGATCTAGTGGATGAACTACATTACCATTCAAAAGTTTGGGCTCAGTAATATATATATATAAATAAAGAAATGTATACTTTTATTCAGCAAGGTTGCATTAAATTGGAGTGGCAGTAAAGAAATGTCCAATTTTACAACATATTTTATTTCAAATAAATGCTATACTTATACTTTCTATTATGAAAAATCAATGTTTCTTGAGCAGCAAATCATCATATTAGAATGATTTCTGAAGGATCATGTGACACTGAAGACTGGAGTAATGATGCTGAAAATTTAGCTTTGCATCACATGAATAAATTACATTTTAAAATTTATTCAAATAGAAAACAGTTATTTGAAATTGTAACAGAATTTCACGATATTACGTTTTTTACTGTATTTTTGATCCAATAAATACAGCTTTGGTGAGCATCAGAGACCTCTTTCAAAAAAATTAAGAAAAACAAACTCCAAACTTTTGAACTTTAGGTGTATATCTGTGCTTACTCTGCTGGTGCACCTGTGTGCATTTCTTAAATCTACTACAATGACCTTAGGACCAGTTAGTTGAAAGTCACAGAAAAAGTTAAAGATAAAGGTCTAGCATTATTTATTTGCAGAAGCCACTTAGTTTGATATTTTGTTTCTAATGCAAAGACATTTTTTAAAGTATTTTTTGACTCACTGTACATTCACAGATGTTGTATAGGGAGTTTCGAAGATAATAATATGAAACATAAAAGTCTTTTGAATGTGACCCAGCATCAACCTTTAGTGTTTCTGACAGGATTTGTGTCACTGTGCAAGCAGTGTTTGGGTAGCAAACATTTTAAGTACATGTTAGATTTACTTCAAAAGCATCATAGTATTTTGTGATGTCAACCAAATATACTATGACATATGAAACTATGTCAGTTTCAGTGAATTAGGAAACATTTCAAGTACACACACATACAATCACAGAAAACGGCAAAAACCAACCTGGTTTTGAAGAGGGGAAGGGTTTTTATTGCACATACACTGATAAATCCCAGCCATTGCAAATCTCTTCAGAGAATCATACAGATCAAGTACTGAGAAACGGCAGATTATGGCTAATTAAAGATTCAGTCCAACTGTTCTGAAACTCAGTACGAGACGAGACGTTGAAACTGCAGCAGGAATGGCTTCACAAAACTCTGCATATTTGCAAAAGCATGTTATAAGCATCAAACTTTACAATACACTGTTGCATTTGGTCATAGATATACATGATCCCATTAAGATCAAGTACTTTTTTGAAAACTTTTTTTTTTAACTTACATTAGTTTCCATTAGCGCTGCCATGGAACTCACAGATAATATTAACAATAACATCCTCTCAAATATGATGAGAGTATTTGTCAGTGGAGATCATGCAGGTCTATGGCAATTCATGAAAAAAATAAAATAATTGTATGCCCTTTGATGTGTTTGCAGGACTATTTCAGTGAACAGTGCAGCAAGCCCAGGCTTTGACAGGATGACTCCATGTGTTGCATTAACACAATGAGCATCATCCCACTTCACATGCTTAGGAGACCAATGACAACATTATCATTATTCCTGGTGTTGGTTCGTTCTTTATGACAACTCTTATGAGTAAATTTCATAAGAGAGATGCCTTAAATTGCAAGAGGTATAGTGCAGAATTAGTCTGTTGAATTAGACTGCTTATTATTATTATTAGACAAAGAAGCAATTCAGTGAATTCACTCAAAGTTTATGTCCTCCTTCAAGGGACAGCTCACCCATAAGTGCAAACAGTGTACTCATCCCCACATGCCTTTATCAACTTTAAATTTTAAGTATTTAAAAAAAAAAGTCATTCATACTTTTATTCAGCAAGGTTACTATAAATTGGTCAAAAGTGACAGTAGATATGTTTATAATGTTTCAAATAAATGCAGTTCTTTGTATTCTTCAAAGCATGAAAATCATGTTTTTCAATAACATATATGCTGAAAAAAGGAATAAAATAACATTTTAAAATAAAAGCAGCCTTGGTGAGCATAGTACTCTTCTTTCAAAAGTAAAAACATTTTTGAAAATCTTACCGGCTCCAAAATTTTAAACACTATGAATTTCTTAATATTTATGTATTTGCTCTAAAATTATTTAAAAGGTCAATTTTTGGCATTGGAGATAATCAGACTATTAAATAAGTTAATTAGACTATTAATAGTGTCTTAACACAATCAAGCTTGTAAATTACAAGACAAAGAAAAATTACAAAAACAACACACCCCTTTGGAGACATAATGGCCAAATCTTCTAGTGAATTTTTGGGTGAACTATCCTTCATATCTATTGTATCTGTTATTTAGCATAAGGACCCTTTCACACCTACCTTGTTTGGTCCGGACTTTCGGACTTTTTTTAGTTTGGTTGGTCCGAATCAAAATTACAGGTGTGAAACCTACCCCGGACCACGGTCCGGACCAAACAGATGAAATTTGGTCCGACGAAAAGAGGTAGTCTCGGTCCGGATCAAACTGAGGAAAGGTTTGGTTCGTTTCTAGTGTGAAAGCATTTCTGTATGGTTCGGACTTTCAGACCTTTTACAGGAAGTTCTGGTGGTTCCCGCATAGCCGAAAAAACAGAAGGTGGCAGGAAAAATGAGCCGTGGTAGCACACGGGGAGAGGAGGAGACGAGGTTTTTAATTGAAGTTTGGTCTGATGACATAACAAGTCAACTTGCAGTCTTCTCCTCCTTTCCTGACGGCGACGATAAAATGTTCGCATGACGAGGACGTTCATTTGGCGAATTTGAACTAGCCTTGTGTATAGTTGGTGCTGCAGGTAATTATGCCATAAAAATAACAATATAGTTGCAACGATATGCGTCTGTTCATTCATGTTGTCAAAGTTACCCGCCGAATTGACAACACGCTGACGTCAGACGCACTTCCATTTACAAACCAATCAATGTCAAGATGCAGCCCACATAGATGATGACGACAGGACTCAAGTATGTCACGTAAAGTTCTTTAGTGCGCTCGCATAATTGACCATTCGCAAAAGCCACGCCCCCTAGTTATTGTTGCTACGCCCGTCAAACAAATGGTCAAACACGACCAGCGCGACAGATTGAAGAAACGGAAAGAACACAACTCCTCCAGACAATCTATCGGGGTACCTAGTGTCCGATTTACAAACGCCGTGGGCGCACCGCTTCACCATCTTGCTTGGAGTCAATGTTTGACGGACCTGCTCACATAGTAACGGTTGCTATGATGTGTGATTGGACAATGACCGTTTTGTGGGAGGGGCCTGCGAACGGTCAATTGCAGTGAGAAACCAAACCAAAACTTTCTGAAAGTATAAAATGTATCAAAACGTGAACTTTGGTTCGGACCTTGGTGCGGACTTTCAGGTGTTAAAACGCCCTAAATGTGTTACATTGCTCTTTTAATCTGTTTGCTCTATAATTCAGGGTCTTATTTATGATTTAAGTATTACATTACTGGGTAACTGAACCCCAAGTATTTGCTTCCCTTTGGTTTATCAAGCACTCACAATAATAAACCCCTACCCAGTGAGTTTCTTGGGCCGTAATTTTTCTTTTCCTCATTAAAATATGAGCAGTTCCCTTTTCTGGACCCTCAGTCTGAGCAGGTGTGGAGGTATGAGTGTCACAGCAGCACGATGAGTGCATGCACGCAAACACAGGAGCACAGGGGGATGTATTCATCTGAGCATACACACACACACACACACACACACAAAATTAATCTTACATTTGCACGTTTACACAAGCGCACACCAGCTCACATGCTCATCCACACACACCCACACCAACAGGCGGATGGAAAAGCTGGAAGATATTCCACACTTACTTTCCTTAGTGGGCTTGCCTGAGTTTGCTCTGGCGTAGAGAAACCATGTAAATGACGCAAAAGACACATACAAACAAACAATCTGCCTTTAAAGTGATTCTCACAAATTTAAGAAACATCAAGAATATCTTTAGTTTTCTGAGACCCTCTTTTCTTAGCTTATTATCAACATCCTGCCAATCAAAACGCTCTACATCCTTGGTATAAAAAAAAATAATAATAATTTTATATATATATATATATATATATACACCTATTTATTAAATAGTTTTCCATACTTTCTCCTAAACAAACAAAGAAACATAACATAAGAAGGATTCTAACATAAATAAATATAAGAAACACAGTATCTGTCCATTTTGTTTTTACTTGTCTATCAAAATTGACACCACATATGATCTATATGGGAGCAAATTGCATATAGGCCTACTAAATTATCAAAATCATTTAAAGCTGCAGTCCGTAGCTTTTTTTGGGTTAAAAATTATCCAAAATACATATTTGAGAAAATGCATAACCAGCCCGTGTTCAAAACTCTCTGCTTACCGTAGCTCGATTCAAAGCGGTACGCTTGTAATAATGTTTTTAATTCCAGTGTTACTGGTGGATTTCCGCGGGAGATTCGAGCATGTCTTTGCATCATTACGTCACATCTGTACACATAAAGAAGGAGTCTCGGCTAGTTGGCTATGTTGCATGTGAGGATGTTGGAGGTGGAGATTTATAGCCTTTTCTCACAGCACTTGATATAATTAAACTTATCAATGTTGATGGCGGATCCAGAAAGGTTCAAACGACAATCACCAGTGACAACTGGAGACTCACCCGCTGTAAAATGCAAAAGACTTCGTTCGGACTTCGGAGTGAAAAAAAGAGACTGCAACCGGACCCATGCGAAAACAAGGATACATATCGGAAGGACAAAATGTAGTCACGCAATGCTGACGTTGTTAACATTAACAATTTGAGAACAAAGTATAATTTGCACGGTTTTGCGTGATATGATAAGCGATTGTTAGATTTAATCAGCGCGATTTACTGCAATGTCAGAACCAGAACAAAAGTGGATGTTACTTACTTGTTCAGATGACATTTTCCGGTGAAAATTATTATGTTAGTCATACTTCCAAAAATAATAATCTGTGATTCTGAATGCCAGTATCCACACCAGCGCGGTGATTGACAGCTGCACACTCTCCTCAATGTGTTCATCCGCGCTGTGCCATGTCGAAGTACAATTCGCGTAAAGTTGATAATTCCGCGAATGACTGCAATTGCAGATTTCGAACAGAGATGGCGACAAAGAGGAAAAACTGCGGACTGCAGCTTTAAGAAAGCAGAAATTATATTTATATTACTTGAACACTCAATTCAACAAAAAAGATAAACCATCAGAAAAGCATTCTTTAATATCTTCTTTCTTTCTATATTAACATTTTTTTTTTTAATTGAACAATATTGGTGATCAACCCTTTTTATTTACGCATTGCCATGGAACATGTAACAGCCAAAAGCAAACGAAACTTAGCGTCTTTAAAGCAGACATGAAGCAGCAATTATGGACTGCAACAAAAGGAATGGAAGCAGACAGAAAAAGCAACATCTAAACAAATCCCTTCATTTTCCATGGATTTCACACCATCTTAGAGCTTTGAAAACTAATTGATATTAGGGACGTATATATATATATATATATATATATATATATATATATGTTTATCAAAGCAACTTTGCATTAAATAAATATCTTGAACAAGACCGATGTCAGCAAAAACATGTGAACTAGAGAATTATACACCAGCCAAGTCTGAAATAACGCTTTTCTTTTTTAAATGACAGTTATTGTTTGTACCACTAACATATTTGTTCAGAATCAGATTATTTTCAATAATCTAATATAAACTACCGTTCAAAAGTTTGAAGTTGGTACAATTTTCTAATGTTCTTGAAAGACTATTCTCCTACACTCACCAAGGCTGTGTTTATTTGATCAAAATAATTTTGTGAAATATTATTACAATTTAAAATAGCGGTTTTCCTGTTAAATATATTTTAAACTGTAATTGCTGTAATGTCAAAGCTGAATTTTCAGCATCATTACTCCAGTCTTCAGTGTCACATGATCTTTCACAAATCATTCAAATATGCTGATTTTCTGCTTAAGAAATATTATCATATATCAATATAATTATCAATGTTGAAAACAGTTGTGCTGCTTAATATTATTGTGCAAATCGTGGTACTTTTTTTCAGCATTCTTTGATGAACAGACTGTCACTTTTTAGCAGTTTAATGCATCCTAGCGGAATAACAGTAATAATTTCTTTAAAATAAACATATTTTACTGACCCCAAGCTTTTGAACGGTTGTGTATATCATAATTTTATGTATTGCAACTAAATGGGAGAAAATATGAACTT